GTTCTGACTGTATTTGACAGGTGCATGCTCTGTATACCTGTGTGTGTTATTGTACCTTCAGACGCAGCAACTTGCAGAACAAATGCACCTGAAAGACAGAAAAAGGAACTTCAAACACACTCTTTAAAACACACACACACACACACACCTCCTTATGTCTTGTCTTCCACTACAGCTTGTTCCTGTCATATCAGTGTGTCGAGTCTCTGCTCTGCCAATCAGCAGTGACGTGCATGAAACCGAACACAGCAGGCGGCTCAGACGGTTTGTTCCCACATGCAGGCACACCAGATAGTCGGATTTCACGTAACCAGGAGAATAATGAATAAAAGTTTGCAAATAGTTTCATCTCTGCAGGCAGTTTCTAAACATCCAACACGTACTAACTTCTGTCTGCAACAAATAACAAAGGTCTAATTCTGCTGAGATGTTCTTTGCAGTCATTGAGCTGCCACACGGTGTGACAGAAAGCGAGCTTCCTCTTCCTTAATGAGACTGTTTAGACGCTTATCATCCCCGTGGGAGCTGAAGGAATGTGCACACACTCGCTGTATTTTTCCTCTGAGACGTACACACGTACAGAAGTGTAAATGCAAAAAGACTAAGCTCTAAAAACAAGAAAAAAAGCAATAAAACCAGTAGTGTGTTTCTGAAAATAAGCAGAATTACCTGCTAACAGAGCAGTTCATTAACATTTAACCAAGTAAACATAAATAGTGTCAAAAATTCAGCAAGTATAGATCCACCAGAGTAAATATTAGTACATTTCTCTGACACAGAAACTGATTATTGTTTTCTAGTTTGAAGATGAAGTTCATACATTGCGCTCCATCTTGTAATAAGGCTTTATAACCCACAGATACCATATCTCCATCCTGACTTCATGTTCTAAGTCTTTTTTCGTTTTTTTTCGGGTTTTTTTTCTTTAAAAAAAAAAAGTCTATTCAGATGCGCACGTTTTGATATCAATCGTCATGTTCATAAATCTGAAAAAAAAAATTACGTTTTAGTACACAGGCCAGGCGAGTAGCAGTAGTACCTTTGTAATGAAATAACATGCGCATGTGAACATACTCATCATCCTTCAGAGCGCTGAGGTGTGAACATAGAAAAATGACTGAAAATGATGTTTGTGTGGACAGATGCTAGATGTTAATCCAAATGACCATAAGAGAGGACATATCAACAAAATGTTGAATTGGAATCATGCAAGTCAACATTTTCACAAACAGAACTCTGTAGTCCACCATTGTTGTTGTAGTCCACCATTGTTGTTGTAGTCCACCTACTCATTCATGGCTACTGACTGGAGCTGCATATAGCCAGTTTACACCACAATGATGGAGACAGAAGTTTTACAAAAGTTTGTACTCTGGAACATGTTTTCAAAACTTTAGGTTTTCAGTCACCCATAACGCGCTTGTCGTGTAAAGGAACAGCCAAAACGCAACAAAAGGTCACTGTTATTGTCACATAAACAGGGTTTCAAATCTTACCAAGTGTATTTCTCTAACTTGTAGTCAAAACATCATCCTGTATACCTGACAAGTCCAGAGTAACATGTAATTTCTAGATATAACAAGCAAACAAGTAAGTCCTGAATTATTTGTGATGGGTAAACAAACACTGCCAGTGGGGCAAGAAGTGATTACTCGTTTGTCTGGGAGTGAGATTAATTAATTATTTCAGATCAAACATCTAATTTCCAGACACTTACAAAAAATAAAATTAGACAGTACACTCACTTAGATATGAGTTTGTTTTATGTGTGTTTTATAAAAACTGCAATGAGATATCTCTCACCAAGAATTAGAAACACTTATTCCTTAAGTTCATAGAAATACTGTATCTGAGGTTTCTTACTAGACAAAAGTTTAATTTACTGACTTGATTTCAGACATGATCAAGCTTAAATTGAACTTTCAAAGTGTATCTACAGTGATTTAGTTAGCTTCTGTCTGTCAGGGATGAAACAGCCGACCCTTTAGTTCAGATTCTGGCTGCTGAACATCTTTTTAATTTACATCTCTTGATGCACGCTCACATCCCAGGGAAACGTATAACTCTGAACACAACACTGACACGCAGTTTATGAACTGGACAATTGACAATGACAACTTTGACAATGTTTAAAACCACCAGTACAGAAAGAACAGAAAAAGATTTATTTTAGTTTATCTCCAGTCTTAATATTCAGGTGTCTGCAACACTCACCCAGCAGTGAAGAGATAAGGAGGATGTCCATGCTGCCAAATGTCCAAAATTAATCCATGCTTCATAAACTGAGGAAAATCATCAAGGTTTTGAGAGTTCTGATTCTTGAATCGATCACTGTTTTAGGAGTCCAGTGTAGTAGTTGTTAAGTCTCTTGAGTTCAGAAGTTATAAAACAGAGACTAAAGTTTCTCCTTGGAGGATTTCCACTGACCACCGCAGCAGACCACAAACAGAGATGGCTATCTTGGTGGAGACATTTCCGTCTTCTTCATCCAGTTTCCAGGCGGAGCATCAGACAGTATACTGACAGAATATGAACTACTAAAGAAGTTCTATAAATCATTTTCACTTTAGTAATTAAAGTCTCATTATGTGCTGATGACGTTATAGGCATCCTGACAAAACTGAAATCAGTGTCTCCTTTTCACAATGTCCTCCTCTTTTTAAGGTAGTTGTTGGTTGAGTTGTACCCAGTGGCTTGTGCATTATACTTCAATAATTTTTTCACATATGGACCAGTTTGTTAGCTCGATGCTAAAACATAATGGCACTTAGCTTTAGTGGACTAACATAACTATAGCATCATGTATTTTTACCTTAAAGGCTTTATATGGTATTTTTTGATCCAGCAGATGTCGCCCTTGAGCACCAGGTGATAGGAGTCATGGAGGCAATTAAGTTTTGGAAGGATGTTCATTTTAATGAAGGAGATTCAGTCTATTGAGGATAATGGTAATTTGTTTCCATCTTTCCAGAGTGTCTTTTATTTCTTGGAGAAGAGGGGTGCAGTTGAGCTTAAAAAAAAACATTTAAATTTGGAGAGATATGGATCCCCTGGTATGTAATATATTTGATGTGCGTTTCAGGAGGGGGTCCTCAGACCCAGCTGATGGAGTAGCCAGACACCTTACTGTTATAATTGATCAGATCATGGACTGATGGAAGAGGGATGAAGGGATTTGTGAAGTATAGCAGCATGTCATCAGCATAGAGACTGATTTTATGGTGGTGTGATTTTAATTGGACGCCTGGCATATGGTCACATTGTACACGTTATCTGATTCATTTTTATTGAAGTAAACTTTCTTCTCTTGATGTTTGGAGGGAGCAATGTGGGGGCCATAAGTTGTTATTGTTCATACCTTGTTTTCTCTATTTTTATCCTCCATTTCTCTCCAACAATTTCTGATGCTGATGCTTGTTTCTTTTTGTGAAAATTGTATATAATTTTCTTTAATTCAATCAGAATCAGATAAAGATTTGCAAATGAAGGGGTAAATAAAATTAATTTAGTTGTTGTTATTCAGGCCATACTTGCATCTTTGCTGTACATTGTTGTCTATCTATAACTTTGGTAAAGACTAAATTATCTCAACAGCTTTCAGGTGCTCTGGCATGAAATCTTAAACAGACATGGATGATCCTTATAGGATGAACAGTTTTGACACAGATTATTTCTTGTCTTCTCCTAGTGCCACCAGATGCAAAACATTTCACTTTCCCTGTGAAAAACTTCAACATGTCTATGATGGATTGTTAGAATATCATGTTTCCAAGATGGAATTATTGATTTCCCGATGTCATGCCCTTTAAGCACAGTTATAGGTTACTTCATGTTTGTGGCATTCAGCAGGTCTCAATAACTGAATGGACTATTAGTACATTTTGTTCAGACATAGTTTTTATGTTATGTTTTGGAAAAAGAGGGTATGTCATGCATGGTGCACCATAGGACCGAAGTCAGATTGAGGACTGTATAGCCTCCACACATTAGACATGTGACATAACCATCGCCGCCTCCAGACATTTATGTTCCTGTTATGACAATGTGTAATAACTTCAGACATCTACTCTGTTTGATGACAGTATACTTTTTTTCAGCCTCAGTGTTTAAAATAAGCACATATTGCCATACAACACACTACACCATAAGCCTCTCCAGACATGAACTCCTGACATTTTTGGGATAATTCCAAGACTTTTAAGTCCCTTTCCAGACTTTCCTTTGTCTTCACAACAGGAGGTTATCTTTATGATATGTGTTCTTACAACGACAAATATGTTGTTATTCTTTGTGTACTGTGAGAAAAGCACTATAAAAGTCTAATGCATTATTTTTATAATTCGTTTGGTATTGACCTCGGTTAGGTGGTGGTGACACAAACAAAATACACACAACTGAGGTGATCAGTAAAGAAGATAAAGCAGAGAAACTCCTCTCAATGAACAACATCATTGCCCCACTCACTCGCTCGCTGTGAATGATGCAGACAGGACAGGATCTGAATATATTAAAAATGTTTATGAGCAAAGGGGGCTTTATTTAGCTACTGTAGCTTAGCCTGCCAGCTGTCAATCCAATACATACAGGAACTTGCCCCTCCAAATATCAGAGGAAAAGGAAAGTTTCTGATATTTCTCCCCTTAAATCACAAAAGACACGATTCAAAATTCATTTAAAACATTTTTAATCTTTTTTTTTTTTGGTCTTATTTAAGTCTACAAAAGGAAATGACTAAACATTGTTTTATATAACTGTAACATCTGCAGGCTGATGTCAGAAGATATCAGCATCTTATAACATCTGTTTAGCTTGGATTTTCTGAACCTCAAACTTTTTGCAGCTTCACTTCAGTGGATTTCTGTGAATGTGTTTCACAGGTGAACTACAGCTGTCTCATTACAGCTCAGTGATCCCCGCCTCCACATCGACCCCTCCCTCTTCCTCCCTGCCCCTCCCTCCACCTCCCGTCGCTCCCATCGCCCAGCCTCCCCACCACATCCACACAGGGTTTCTTCTTCCAGGAAGCGTCGGGCAGTCGGATGCTCTGCTGGAATGCCTGGGAGAGAGAGAGCGGATCCTTTCTGTCCATTTTCTGAAAGAGAGAGCGGGGAGAGCCAGCGGGGCGGAGGTGGAGGAGGAGGAGAGGAGGAGGAGGAGGAAGAGGGTTGGCGATAGTGAGAGAGGTGCAGACATGGCTTCTAGAGAGATCACTGGTTTCGTGAGTGTGACCAAGGAAATCACAGGTGGGTACAAACGGCTTGTTTCTCTCCGTGTGTGTGTGTGTGTGTGTGTGTGTGTGTGTGTGTGTGTGTGTGTGTGTGTGTGTGTGTGTGTGTGTGTGTGTGTGTGCGTTGCGGGCTGCAGCCGCCTTCTCCACCGGCTGTGTGCGCCCGGTGGAGGCTGCGACCGAGCGGACGCATCCGATGATGAGCTACAACCTCACATCTTGTCCCTGAGCCTTTTCCTACTCCGTGCATGTGATTTGATGAATGTCAGATGAATTATTTACAGTGCAGGGAAATATACCCTGCCTTAAATCTGCCCCTGGGGCGGATCAGGTAATAAAGCCCCCTTGCCTTAGGCCAGAGAGGAAAAGGGGCGTATAGTGGAAATGATGCACAGTGTGGTGCTCGTGGGGTCTGATCGTGTTTTGTTCTACGTTTTTTAACCCACTGTTTCCAGATTATGTTCTCCCTCTCTGAACCTGAATCATTGAGGATTGTCTCTTTTGTTTTTCTGTCGCTCATCCGACCCGAGCATTATAGTGATTGCGTGCCAAAGTGAGGACTGTTTCAAGGCAGATGTTCTCCACTAACCCAGCAGCGCGGCACAATGCACAAATATTTATTCATCCGCCTGAAACAGCAACAGCTTGTGCACATGTCACAGTATCCGACAAACACATGCTCAGGGTAGCTGGGACTCTGCTGCTGTGTTAATTACTCCTAATGGCTCTATTAGACTCTCTGTGATGATTAATCCAGAGGAATCCCCGGCCTCCTTGTTCAGTCACCTGCCGGGCCCTGCTACGCCCCCCCCCTCCTGACCTGCCTCCTGCAGATTGACAGGCAGGAGGAGATCCGGGGGGGGGGGGGCACCAGGGGATGGTTGGCCTGCAGGCCTGCACAAGGTCACTTGAATGAGACTCAGATCTGGGTTTCCTCTTAGAATATAGTTCAGTGCTTTATCAGCTTTTATCTCTGACTCTCAGCTCTGAATGATCAGCAGGTGAGCTCCTTTAAAAACAAAAACAAAAAACTGGCACCAACTGGATATTTCACAAAGTTTGTTTAAGACCCAGACAGGAAGTGCAGTCTTTTATTTCAACAAACCAGCATGTCACAATTGGTGGTAGAAGAAGGATGAGGACCCATTTGCAGATTAACAAAAAGGATTTGATCAAACAAAGAGTAAAAAAGGCAAACAATCCAAATGTCCAAGAAAATGGAACAACACAAACATTACCATAAACACAGAGAGCCACGAGGAAACACTGGTAACACTGACTTCAAGATTTCAAACCTTAACCAGTTTTTTAAAAACATGGGGGACCCAGACATATCGACAGTTTCAACACATTTTTAACATTAGAATCCTCCGAACGCTCACACAGCCAGATTACAAGACCCCAACCAGCCGTTTGTTGTTTCGATTTCTCAGCGGGCAAATCCATAGACACAAGAAACAGAAACTTGCGTGATCACATTGGGACTTCTGAAGAAACCAGAAGGCAGCTCGATCTGGAATCCTAATTATCAAACATATTTGATTTCGAGGTTGGGAGCAGTAGAATAATTGTATTGACACCACACACACACTTGGGGATTATTGTGACAAGCCTTGAAATGGATCCCCACTGACCCTGGAGGTGTTAGACTATAAGATGTAAACATCCTCTAATCATATCCAAACACTGCCTAAGAACTACACAAAAGAACACAACAGCCTAAAAACATATATTTTATAAAGTAATCTAATGTAAGAAAATATAGAGGCAAAATTCAATTAGCCTAATCTCCAAGCAAAGAAGCCCTGAGTGGACATAATGACACACAGGTGATGTCTGTGTGCGTTTACCTACCTTGTTGCTGTCATTGCACATTTACATTTAAATCATTTGTACATATAATTTTTTATTTTAGCATAAATCTCACTTCATGAGTATGATTTTATTTTAAATGAATCTACTTATGGATGTCCTGACCTCTACTACAGGCACCACTGGCCTGATGTGTATCCAGCCTGAGTGATTCTATACAGTGATACAGACCTCTGAGACTCACTGATTGGTCAGGCTATCGTTAGCGAAAATGTTCGTTATCAAGTCAGCTCGTATGCTGTCTGTCTGTCTGCTTCACATACACACACACACACACACACACACACACACACACACACACACACACACACACACACACACAGTTGTGCATGCTTCTCTTACTCTCTGTCTGTCAGCACACACACCTCCTCCTCTCTCCTGATTGTATTTTGACAGACAGATTGGAGGCACTTTGCTGGAAAATAAAGTGGATTTTAAATGTTAAAATCATCAAATGTTAAAATCTAACATTAACATTTAATTCTCGTCTCGTTAGTGAAAACTTTACGTACCTTTCATCTGATTGTATTTACTCATCAATCTATTTTTAGCTCCTTGTTGTCGTTTTTTTAATGGAGAAAAAGTTTAAATCCAGCATTTTTTAACTGTGTTAAAATGTGTTAATCTACATTTCACCACTTTGAACTCTCCTCACAGAGACGTGTGTGCAGCTGAACATGTGGATATGTTGTAGAGAGAAAATCTTTTCTTACCTGTAAGGCTGCAACCAATGATTATCTCCAATAATCAAAAACCTGTTGTTTATTTCCCAAAATAATGGAGTTGTTCAGCCAAAAATATTAAAACAGATGTTGATCAGGGTTTCAGAAAAGTCAAAGACGACGAGACGCCTCAAATGTGATATTTGTCCAGAACACACGAAAAAAGCCACTTTACTGTCATTAATGAACCAACAAAACATCTAAATGTTGCCTTTTTTCTTTCAAATCATTTCAAACCAATGAATGGAGTGTCAATGGAGTTAATAGTTACAGATTGTTGATTTCATCAACTCCATCCACTTCACAAAATTCATGAAAAGTCCATCATTTTGGTTTCAGTTTGGTGCTTCAATAACAGAGAGTGAATCATCTTTCTCCTGTCATGTTCGCGCGTGTGTGTGTGTGTGTGTGTGTGTGTGTGTGTGTGTGTGTGTGTGTGTGTGTGTCACATGTCGTCACCCTGACACTGACACACTTCCTCTGGCTCAGGTTTGTGTGTTTTCAGATCAGAGGTCCCAGCTGTGATGATGATTCAGTTTAACAGGAACTTTCTCACTGAATCACAGACTTTGTGTGTTTGCATGCATGCTGGGTGTGTGTGTGTGTGTGTGTGTGTGTGTATTGCTCCTGTGAGGCGATGAAACATATTGTAAAGAATTTCTGTGATTGTGCTGCTTTGTGCTGGATTCATACTGTACTCACTAAGTCAAATCATTGTCTTATTACAGACTTGATTTCTGTGAATGTTGTGTTTTGAATCTCAACAAGCAGCCCTGACAGTTTCAGATTTATCAATTTGTGTATCATTTTCTATAACAAGGATGTTTTCAAAGTTCTTGGATTATTTTATCTCTCTTGGAAATGTCACGATATCCATTCACATAAATGACATTTTCTCAGTTTTAAGATGAACTCATGAACGCAGGCCTGTGCTCCTTAAAGGTCAACGTGCTGTAGAGCAGTTTGATTTGATCTTATTGTGTGAAACGACCGTTCAGTGCTCCTGCTGAAGAGGTTTTGGCAAATTTGAATGCCATCTGAGACATTTTCATGTTGAAACAGCGCTGTCAAACAAATATTTTTTTTGAATTGTGATTAAACACCGCGTTTCAATATAGTTAATTACTATTAATCACATTTTTATCAAATGTTTGTTATTCCATTTTTGTGCATTTGAAAACAGTTTTTGTCATGCTTTTATTTTGTATTTTTGTGTTCTCTCAAGAAATTAAGGAGCTTCCAGCACTTTCAAAGAAAAAGGAACTTGTTACATTAAACTGTTTCAACTTTAACAAAAGATCATTTTTTATTTGTTTGACAATAACCTGATATAAAAGTGTAAATGTGGTTCTGTTAACACATTTAAATGTTTGAATTGCTCTTGGAAATTCTGTCATGGTCCTCAAAGAATCTATTTTTATGTCTATATTTACATGTGCAGGAGCCATGTTTCTAATCCTTATTTTTTCATGCTTTTCATCTACAGAGAGCATCAAGAAGACTGTTGATAAATCATCAATCAAGTTTGTTTATGGCATTAAGCTCGACACCAAAAGTGGCAGAACGGAGGACAGAATCCTGGTGAGTTTTCGGCTTCAGTCTGTTCAGGTCTGAGTTTCATTAACACTTTGATGGTGCACTGAGCAGTCTGCAGCATTCATCATGTACATACAGTATGTTTGATGTTAATGGATCTGTGACTGCAGAGCTTCCAGGAAACTTGTTAACGGCTTTCTAACTGCAGCCTGTTTTCTGTCGGTGGATGAATATTGGATGGACAGTATCTCTGTGGAGGCAGTGTGGGGGGGGGGGGGTGGCTGTGCAGCTCGCAGCCTTTGATTCAGGGCTGCTTTCATCACAGAATATGGGACTGATATGAAATCTCTATTTGAAGCTTGGCCAGAAGTCATGATAAAATCTGAGCCAATCTGCTCGTACATTATGGACCAGAACTCAGATTTTGACCCTCCAAGAATTCCTTCTAGTGTAGAATAGATGGACTTGCATGAAAGCAGAGCACCTCCCGCACGCTCCATCTCGTCCACAAAGCAGAGCAGCTTCTATTGATCGAGTGCCCCTATTTAACCACAACTCTGTAAGAGCAAAACCCTACACTATTCCCTGTCCAGCAGCAGTGGAGTTTTTATTCTGTTTAAAAGACTAATGACTCCTGTAGCCCCTCCTGCAGTCTCCTCTGTGAGCCACCCCCGTCTGAGCAATCCTTCCACTCAATATCAGCTTTAAAGGCTTGTTTCTGCATGTACAGCCTTTGATATTCATACACTTTGATATGTCTATCAGCCAGAAAAATCTTTCCAATAATCTCTTTCCAATCCATGTCTCATTTACTACTTCCTCTTTTTTTTTAAAGCTGAGCTGGATAAAAAGAGATCTCCTTCCTGCTGGGTGCAGAAAAATAGATTAGAGTTTGATCCGAAACTCAGAGAAAGCTGAGCTTGAAGGGAATTATGGTATTTTTAAACCAGGACCCTTTTTTAATAGATATTTTGCAGCCCAAATTACTAACATTTAAAAATCCATGTAAATTACTTCAGCAGTGGAAACGACTGAAATAGCTGTAGCCATATCTTTTAAAGCATGTGAATTTAATTTTAAATGGCTTCCAAAAGTTGTTGTTTTTGTCACTGAAAGGCTCAGATTGTTATTCCTAGCTACTGACAACATTATAGAAAGGAGACCTGCAGAGACAGAGATTTTATGATGACAGTGTATGATGGGTTTTTTAAAATCCAGAAACCGATCGATCTCTCTTCAAAGCCACCAGACTCCATTGACAGAAATTGTCATTTTAATCTATCCAGAGCAAAGGAGTTCTGATCTACATATGCCTTGACTGGTTAGTTTGATAGCTATGTTGTGGGACTAAAAAACTCAGATGCTTAGATATGAACACAAACTAACTAACAAATCAATGCAGCAGTAAACCAGCAACTTCTGTTTTCTGCAGGATTAAACAACTGTTTTTGTCAGTGGAGTGGAAAGGAAAAAAAATACAAACACCCAATGATGAGAAAAGTCCATCCTCTCTGTCTTCTGCCTGCTCCACTTTTCAGAAAATGTGTGCTCAAACAGGCCGTTTAGAGATTTTCCCTTCATGACATCACAAAGGGCATTAGTCCCTCCCCCAGGTGGGTGACACTCCCACAGCTAGGTGTTTGTTCTGCCCTCTGAGTCTGCCTTCTCACCATAAACAATAGGACATGGAGCGAGAAAGTCCAAGCCCTTCCATAGGGGTGCGTGGTCAGACACAGCTCATTTGCATTTTAAAGCTACAGACACACAACAGCCTGTTCTGAGCAGGGCTGAAATAGAGGATGTTGTCGACATGATGAAATACAGGATTGGGTGGATTTTGAGCTGCGAAATTCAAAGACATGTTTCGGGGACCTCTGAGACTTATTGAAAGTGTATAAGTATTTAAGTATAATATGTGACCTTTAAAATGTTAGTTTGGATACAAAACTTTACAAATGATTGAGACAACAGAAGACCATACATTCTTATTTTCCAGAAGATAAAGTTGCCATTTTGTCAAAGCAGTCTGGTGGATTTGTAGACAGTGATGTAACATCTTTTGGGGTTTAAAATGATCATCTTCCTCTTTAACAAAAAGATCTATCTCTATAGAGATCCTCTTTGCAATGTTGTAATAAGATATCTACAGTATACCATCCCACTTCATTTTCTTTAAAGCCACAATTCTCCATAGACAAATACAGTCATTTTAACTCAGAGAACACCAGAGCTGCTGGTCCACCTATCCCTCCATTGTTATTTTTTTTGGAGTCAAGTGGGATTTTGGTATTTTTTATGGTTTTCAGATCCAACACAACAAAATACGACAGAACTCTCACTGATCGAGCTAGACCAGCAACTCTGGTGTTCTGCATGATCACATGAGTCTGGTGGCTTTAGAGTGATGTAACAGATGTTTCTGGATTTCAAAAATAATCTTCTCTTCTAACAATGAGGTGAGTATCTGTAGGGATAATGTTGTAATGTTGTAATAAGAAATCCAGTTACGACCTCGACATCACTTTCTTTACAGCCTCCAGACTCCATGGACAAAAGCAATAACTTTTCTAAACGCAACACAGGAGTTGCTGTTCTACTGATGCCTTCATTGTTTTGTTTTTTTGATCGATGCATGTCATCGGTGTTTTCAAAAGGTTTAATCAGATCCAACATGACCCAAAAAAAACTAACTGATTGAGCCAGTGATGGAACAGCAGCTCCAGTGTTTTACAGGAGTCTTGTGTCTTTGAAGAGGGATGTAACATCTTTTTTAAAATAACATCAGTCTCTGTTGGGATTCTTGCAATAACACTTGTTTGCATCATTTGCTTTGTTAAAGTCCATTTGCCCCAAAGGATTACATTATAGCCTTTTCCCCAACTCCCAGTTTAAGCATTTTTTTTGGAAACAATGGCAAAACCTTTTGTACCTTAAAATCATTAAGACCATAAATAAGTATGAGTTCTTCTATAAGAAGACTGCAGAACAATCTGAATGGTCTGATGGTTTCAATGAAAGATGAATAAATAAAATGGACACAAAGAATGAAAGACTTTATATGTGATTTTTCACACTTAAATGTAATATAAATCAAGTATATCCTCTGAAAATAACTCTGTGAGTCATGACTGTCTACAATGGGTGTAACACCCGAGTCCCACTGTCTGTGATGTTTTCAGAGTTTTCAGAGTCCTATCTTCACTTTGTTTACATCGCCGGGACGGCCGGCTGACTCTCCCCTCATGTATAAAAGTTGTTTAATTGAGGGACTAGAGAAAAGAAGAATAACATACTGTACTCACTGCTTAACTGTGTTTCTAGATCACGCTCATTTCAGGTAAATTTACATGCAGTGTGAAGATACGAGCATAATAAAGATCGCTAGCATTAGCATGCTAACACAACAATGCAGCGCAAGTTGTTTTGGTTTCATGCTGGTGCTCAAGGGCGACGTCTGCTGGATCAAAAAATCAAATATAAAGCCTTTAAAGCAACAGTTCCATAAGACAGGATTAAACCGAAATAAATCAGTCAGCCTCCATTTACCCCAATCGTCGTCGTCTTCCTCAGTTAGTTCATTAGTTCACTGGATGGAAACATTTAATTTAATTTAAATCCTATGGAATCTAAATATGTCCTCATTTTAAGTCACCAAAATGATTCTAAGCAGCCTTTACTTTCTGTTTCAGGGCTCCAGGCTGATATATCAACCTGAGCAATTCCAAAACGTTTTGTACCTGTTGTAGCTAACATATTTAATCATACAGCACAGTTTTCAAAATATCTCTTTAAGTGTGTGTAAAGAGAAAGGTTAGGGGAGAGGCTTTGATCCATTGACTGGCTCGATCCCTGCAGGTCACATGAATGTGTCTCTGTGACACTTTATCTAAAGTGTCTAATGAAACAAGGCGGACATTTCTGTCCTGTAGCTTCTCTCCTGTGTGATTATCCGCCACAAGAAGTGTGTTGCGTGTGTGTGTGTGTGTGTGTGTGTGTGTGTGTGTGTGTGTGTGTGTGTGTGTGTGTGTGTGTGTCTCTCTTTGATGTGAGTACTCTCTCTCTCTCTGCTGCTGCATCAGCATGATTCACTCCTGTTTACTCTCCGCTCCCTCTCTTAACTACCACCCGTAACCCCGACTCATCACCGTAATGTGATACAATCTGCTCCTTTTAATCAACTCCTTCAGACACACAGAGACACCCCCCCCCTCCCTCGCTCCTCTCACATGCACATTCTGAGTGACTTCATCTCCTCTCTTGCTGTGTAGGAGTAAGAGGCTGTCATCATGTTGCTTCAGAGAGGCCCGTGTCAAGCTCCTGTCTCCAAAATATGAAACAGTGGAGTGGGAGAGCTGTGATTTAATTACTGCTTCTCATTGGGGAGAGACACATGGATGGGAGAGGGGGGGTGTGAGCTGTCCTGGGGGAGGGTTTTAGCAGAGCCATCAGAGAGAATGGAGTAAATGATTGGGAGCGATGGAGCAGAAGAGGAGAAGGGAAAGAGCAGAGGGCAGGACTCAGGGGCTGGTGCAGAGCAGGGAAATGTCAGAGAGAGAGAGAGAGAGAGAGAGAGAGAGAGAGAGAGGGAGAGACAGAGAGGAAGAGAGAGAGAGAGAGAGAAAGAGAGAGAGGGGGAGAGACAGAGAGAGACAGAGAGAAAGAGAGAGAGAGAGAGAGAGAAAGAGAGAGAGGGGAGAGACAGAGAGAGACAGAGAGAAAGAGAGAGAGAGAGAGAGAGATGAGAGAGAGAGAGAGAAAGAGAGACAGAGAGATGGAGAGAGAGAGAGAGAAAGAGAGAGAGAAAGACAATCTGACTTTTTCAGTATTGAAACTCATGAGCGTCAGAGTCAGCGACAGAATCAGATTTATCCCACAGCAGCATGACACAACTGTTTCCAAGCTGAGATTAAGCCGGCACAGAAATGCAGCGAGATGCACAAATAAGCTTAAAATGAAAGTCACGTCTAAATAAACTCCCATCAACTCTAAAAAAAAATAAAAAATCATCCCACACACACTTCAGACTGCAGACAGCAAATTAGCAGAGGAAGTGAAGCCAAAAAGATGCTCATACGCCATCCTGACCCAGCATGACCGGCTCTGGAACAGATCCCATCACTGCACTGCAAAAAATCAGCTCTGAGAAGTTACAACTACAAGGCACTGAAATGAGAAATACTGAGGGATTTAAAGGGGTCTGCCTTCAGGGGTTTCAGGGATTTATAAAAACCATAGGGACGTCCTTTATTGTGTTGCTGATGATCTTTTGTAGTTATTAAAGAGACATCAGGGTCATACTTACATACACATACATATATACATATATACATGTATATACGTACCAATAAATAAATAATAGTAATAATAATAAAACAAGATAAATAATGAGAACCGCCCTAATACAAATAGATTATAGAGTTGCAAAAGCTCAGCTCTAAAAAGAAGAAAAAATGGAATAAAGTTGAGAAAATGTTACATAAAATTAAATGATATACTATATCACGACTAATAAATATCAATTGCCATAGATGTGTTGTAATTACATTTCTTCCATCCAGTATAGCTTTACTTTAAAAACTATGATTACTGTTTTGTGATGCAGTGGAAATGTTTCAAATCCAGTGTCTGCAAAAGTTAATCTCTCAAAAACAAGAAAATAAACCATAAAAACTGCTAAATTATTTCTAAAACGAGCAAAATTGTCCCCCTGTTAAAAAAGTAAAATGCCACTTGCCTCAATAATCATTTGTTCAATATGTTAGAAAGTATTCCTTAATTTAACAACTATGAGCATCGTGGACTTGAAATAACGCTACATTACGCTACATGTCTCTTAGAAGACAGCCAGCATGAGGAGGTTAAAAAGAGGTACATCGGTCTTGATATGAATGTCACGAATGGTTGAAGAAACAAAGGAGGTGGACCCAATTGCAGATACAAAGAAAACTAGATATATTAAACAAAAAGCCAAAGGCAAATAAAAACTTACTAATTCAAAAATGTTCAACAAAAATTCAGAAGGGGAAACCAAGGAGCCACAAGCACTAAAGCCATGAAACACTAAAGACTAACTTAGAAAACACCATCAGGGAAGAATGAGAACTAAAAACAAGAAAATGTAAACTCTGAAAATCTACACAATAAGAAACCAAATCATGACAATGAATAAAGGAAATATAAATACTTGTCCTATAGTTTTCTAAATTTGAGCGAGCAGTGCTATTTTCATTGTTGCCAATGCTGTAAACTACATGAATGGAATTCACAGATTAAATCAGGTTTTTATCCAAAAATAAATTAAAGCACCTTTAGCCTAAGACGGTACGGATTTCAAAATAAAAGTCAAACTAAACCTGTTTTAAAATGAAAAGGAATGGTTTAAAAACATGCAATTAAAAGATGTAACTAAATGCATTTAACTATTGAAACTGACTCTGATTTCAATTAATCATGATTAAAAAAAGATGTAATGGTTTGTCAGCCCTACTCGAAATACAAAAAACACACACGGCCTTGATTTAAGATATTTCTGCTGACTAAGATTTAACTCTTTGCGATGTGCAGGAAACATAATGAACTGCTGAAAACAGTAATTCCCTTTTAGTTTTAGTTGAATGACTAAACTCCACAGCATGATTCAGATGAAGTAAAAGGTGTCACAGCAGATCTGATGTTAGTGAAATAAAATCTGGTGTTTGTGTGATCAAATTGTTGCAACATGCCGTTATTTCCCAGCATGCATCACATGAGGTTTATAGAGATACAGAGGGCTTTTAGCTCGATCAATATATGAATATATAGAAAAGAGCTGCTCATTTAAACTATCTTTATTAACACGGGAACTCAAGGGACTCTTTTCTCCTGAGTGGTGAACTTTTCAGAAATCTTCATCCAATCTGCTCTGCTTCTTTTCTTCAGGTCCTCACGACATGGCGTCTCTATTTCCTGCCTCCAAAGATCCCCGCCAAGGTACCTCCTCGCCTGCTCGCTCTCCTTGACAGTCTGAAGATTTTCTTTTCTTTTCTGAAAGTCTTTACTGTTTCAAATATCTCTGCGTCTTACAGGTAGAATCTACCTTCAACTTCTTGGAGATTCGAGCTTTGAATTCTCACCCCGAGCACCAGGTGAGTTTGAACTCTGTGCTCTCAGCTCCTCTGTCACCACTCCATGATTATATTTCTGATCTTTTTTATGGAGCTGTTACATCACGTTAACCTTCAAAGAATGACAAGATGCATTCAAAGCATTTATAAAAAAAAACTACAGAGACAGACGATGCTTTTTTAAAGGCTTTATATGCGATTTTTTGATCCAGTAGATGTCACCCTTGAGCACCAGCATGAAACCAAAACAACTCTCTCTGCATTGTTGTGTTAGCATGCTAATGCTAGCGATCTTTATTATGCTCATATCTTCACACTGCTTGTAAATTTACCTGAAATGAGCGTGATCTAGAAACACAGTTAAGCAGTGAGTACAGTATGTTATTCTTCTTTTCTCTAGTCCCTCAATTAAACAACTTTTATACACGAGGGGAGGAGTCAGTCGGCCGTCCTGGCGATGTAAACACAGTGAAGATAGGACTCTGAAAACTCGGGTGTTACACCCATTGTAGACAGTCATGACTCAGAGTTATTTTCAGAGGATATACTTCATTTCTATTATATTTAAGTGTGAAAAATCACATATTAAGCCTTTGATTTATCTTCCGTTTATGGTAGAAAATAAACCAGAAAGCAGGGGAGGATTTAGGGCGGGGCTACATATGTTGTTAGCCTCTGTTCATGGGGCGCAGGACATGGCTACTTGGCTATCTGGCCCCCCAGAAAGGATTTGAGTTTTAGCATAAGATTCCCTCAGTCCTTTATGTTTCTGTTTCCGTTCAGGTCGTCATCGACACAGACAAATCTAGCCACTCTCTGAGGTTCGAGTCCCGCGAACAGCTCAACAATGTGGTCAGCCACATTAACTTTGCCCTGTCCCGAATATTCAACAACTCTATTTTTGCGTAAGTGTCACCTTCTCACTTGAAATAAATCTTGTGTGTGTGTGTGTGTGTGTGCAGATAGAATGAGTGTGAGAAGATAAATGGTGCCTCACAGTCACTGTGCTGCTTTTCATGTCCTCAGCCCCTCCATCTGTCATTCAGACAGCGACCTTTCTGAGGGCAGCAGGAAGTACTCACCCAGCTCCGAGACATCAGTGGAGACGCAGAGAGCCTGTGGTAAGAGACACGCTATCATCAAACATGCACACACACACACGCTCAGACACACTCACAGACACATGCAAAGTATTTGGCTGCCTCTGAGGAAGTTGGCTCACTCACTCTCCCAGATGTTCTTTTTAAAGTCTTCTGTCAGAAATATAAAAGATTGATAATTTAGACAAATGTTTCTGTTTGCTCTCTTTTTCTCTCCCGTTTCCCGCTGAAGGAAGCAGCTGTTCACATAATCTCTTTGTTTTTTTTGTCTCTCAGGAGGCTTCTCGGAGACGTACTCGGCTCTGTGCGACTACAACGGCATCAGCTGCAAGGAGGAGGTGCAGTGGGTAAGAGCTGTGCGACTGTGTGTGTGTGTGTGTGTGTGTCGCCCAGTGTTACACACAGCTCTTTGCAAATGAGGGGGTTATATTCTGCAGCATAGAGGCTCATGGGTAATGTTGCTCCTAGGATGTGGACACCATCTATCACTCCCAGGACAGCCGAGAGTTTAACCTGCTGGACTTCAGCCACCTGGAGAGCAGGTAGAGTGGAGAGCAGCGGGGTTCACTTTTTTCTCTCTCTGCGTTGTGTTTCCTTGTTTTACCTCAGAGTTCATCTCTTTCAGGGATTTGGCCGTGATTGTTGCATCAATGGCGTACAACACCTGGTTCACCAAACTGTACTGCAAAGACCTGCGCATTGTGAGTCAACAATGATTCAATACAGTATTCTAATCACAGGGATGCATTTGAAGCTATATACCTGTGCAAATAAAAATTAAGAAAGTTGTGGAATTCACAAAGCACAGGTAATGTTTAAATAATTGTGATTAGTCGCCTCATTTCAGTAGTTAATGGCAATGTATCAGACTTTTAACCATATGTTTGAAATTCTATTATTTAGTATTTCAAAGCTGTTTTTTGTTTTGATTTTATTTTGTTCTTTGTGCAGTCAGAAGCAAAGGTTATTTCTTCTTTCCTGCAAGGTCCTGTTGTGAAGGATGAAGTCTGGCATGTAGACTACATTTGTCTCATCGCCGACAGCGTTTACAGCTAGCGTTAACGTTAAAGTGATGGAAGCACTGTGAAATCCTGCACTGTGTGGCAATTAGTAAAGATGAGCAGTCAAAAACCGGAGTACCATGGACACCTCCCACATCATGACAGTCACAGGATCAGCACCTTAACAGCGACCACGAATTAATAGTTTTTTCATGTTACAACTAGTGGACAAGATTCATTCTGCATTAGAAAAGAAAGAGCTTTCGTGTGGTATTTTTCTCTCTAAAGCATTCGATGCTGTAAATCATTACATTTTACAAGCTAAATTATATAGATATGGATTTAATGGAAATGTCCTGAAGTGGCTCAGTTATTATGTATATAACAGACAGCAGTATGTCAACATAAATGGTGTAGAGTCTGAGAGAACTATGATACAGTGTGGGGTCCCACAAGGGTCCATTTTAGGACCGTTACTGTTTCTCATATACATTAACGATCTTGCAACAGTATCAAACACAATATGCCCGTTATTATTTGCAGATGATACTAATTTACTTGTCTCCAATCAAAATCTGTCAGAACTCATGAGTGAAGTAAATAATGGCCTTCTTGCATATTAAAAAATGGTTTAAAACAAATAAATTGGCATTAAATGTGAAAAAATATAACTTCATGATAATTTGCTGGAAAAATGAAATATAACTCTGAAATGGTGAAATTGTATATAAATGATGATTAAAGGACTAAATTAACATCAACAAGATTCTTAGGGATCTTAATTGATGAGAAACTTACATGGAAAGATCACATCAGCTTTGTCTGTAGTAAGGTTACAAAAACTCAAACTGTTGTTTTATACTAGTACGATCAACTCCATAAAACACAAGCATGAGAGAGGGACAGAAGTCACAACACACCTGAAAACGTGCCCCTTATCTTCCCAGTTCTATACCTTTTTGGAGACAGAATTCAGAGTAGCAAATGTGGAGGTGAGGTCAGAAGGAAGACAAGAGCAAACAGCACGTTTTCTGCTTGAATACATAAGATCATCAACTCAAAATGATATGTGAGTTGAACCTTGAGATGGGAGAGAGCAGCAAGTGATGCACACTTTATAGAGATATCAGCGTTGTAATCCATTCTTAGTGAGATGGCACTAAAATGTGTCTTTTTCCTCAGGGGTCAGAGGTCACAGAACAGGTCCTGCACACGGTCAGCAAGTCGTCCAGTCTGGAGGAGATCACTCTGGAGAACGCAGGGTTAAAATCGTGAGTCTGCATCTCTCTTGTTTATTTATTCAATGTCTATGAAGGTGTATATTTAACTTTTAATCAGTTTACTGTTCAAAAAGAGTTCTGCTATGCCCCTGGAAAACTAAATAATTGCTGGTTAACTTCAAAACATTTTGTCCACCAGAAGAAAGAAATGAATCTTTTAAAGAGTGTTTGTCATCAGAGGTCTGATTCCTCACACTAAGTCATGACTGTGGATTCACTTCACAGAGATTTCCCTCAGAAGATGTCAGCTGCTCTCTCAGAGAATCCAGCATCTGTCATCCACTCGCTCAACCTCGCCCACAACTCACTGGACAACCAGGGTACATTTAAACTTTTCTGCTTAAATGATCCTCTCTGTCACAATACTTCTGTATTTCATTGTTCAAGGCCTGTATTCATTTACACACAGCACATTTACACAATCATAGAAGAGCTGTTTCACTGCGGTGTTGTGCGGGTTTACAGTTAAAAAGAGCGAGTTTAAAGAGAGAGAGAACACTGCAGTGTGTGTGTGCATGTCTGAGTGTGTGTGTGTATGTGGAGCTCCTGCTCTTTTTCTCCACGTCATGCTTCCATAACACTGTAGACTGGGACGCCAATATTAAACCATTGCAGAATCAGTTTTGTACGAAGAAGTAAAGATGGGCGGAGCTTCATTATGGAATCGCACTCTGAATTTTTTGTTTTTTGTTTTTTGATTTACTTCCTTTGTATTTACTTGTATTTGTTTTGAGCCGCTCTTCATTAGAGCCTCCAATGCTTTCATCTTCATCGTTCACCCCCTGATAGCTCCTAGAATTGACCGGATGCTTCAACTGTCCTTTTTAAATTCGTTTGCTGATTCGACTGATGCTCAGATTTGTTTTTTTTCAGGCTCACAAAGTTGCATAAAAATGTGAGATTATTCCCGCTGGACTCTGTACTGTTCTGCTCATAAATCTTCAAATATTCATTGGAACTGATGTCTCCAGCATTTCTTGTAGCTGCATTGTTCTGGATTTCTAGCAGAGTTATTCTTGTTGTATTCATGCCGTATGTTGAACTCCAGCGTCAGCTGCAGACAAACACAGCGCTCGGTAACTCCTGTTGCTCTCTCAGCGTGAGAGTAGTTCACACTGTTCTCGTTCATGAGTTGCAATTTGATTTATTCATTTCGCCACTCATGCTTATTATTGGCTAAAGGAAGAACTCCTCCAGAATACTTTCACAGGAAGACATTTTTATTTCTTTCAACTTGTACTTTTCATTGGTCATTAAGACGCATAATATTTAAAAGAACTCACGGATACAATCCATCGATTTGTATCGCTAAAGAAGCTCCAAGGTCATTTGAAACTGATAAAATTGTTATATTTATTTTCCACTTTTTTTTTCTTTTTTTTTACTTTTATTCATGCGTGCATACACACACTCACATAATAAAAAAAGAGATACAAACAAGAGGAGAACTGTGGTATGATACAGCTTTGCAAGCAGATTTAGACAAAAACGAACAAACAAACAAAACAAAAGGAAAAGGGTCAGTAAATAATGAATGAATGAATTAGAAAGAGGGACAAAATAAGTGAATGAGCAAACAGGACAAAGAAAAACAGTCTAGTAACAAATAAAAATTATAAAAAATATTTTCCACTTCTGTCATTTTAATGTTCCCTCAGTTCAGCCGGTGCTTCAGGGTTTGACTGAGGAGCTGATGCGAGATTAAAAGTATTAACTGTAAAGGTTGCAACTAAACAGGAAATGAAACGTCTGGAGAGGTGAAAGAAGTCATACTGAATACAACCCCCACCTCTTTTTGTATGTGCTGCAGGTGTTTCAAATTTAATCCAGCAGGTGTGTCGCCTCAGCAAAGGGCTCCGTCTGCTCAACCTCTCCAAGACCTCCCTCACCTCCAAAGGTTTGTCGCCCTCTGTTTACTCCACTTAATGTAATATTGATCAAATGTGAGTGTAGGTTGCAGGACTCCTAACACTGCTGCAAGAAGGAGATCAGGTCAAGAAAGTAAAAAAGAAACAGGTAGAACAGTTAGTGAAAGCTGCAGATCTCAGTGTTTGTGTGAGATTACAGGTCAGGGAATATAAAACCTCCAAAGCCTCCAGATGATTCTCCCTCCTGAAGAGCCGTGTTTCATGTTTGGCCCTGCTACGACTCCATATTGACTCACTGTGTGATGTGCTGTGCAGCCCCGCAGGCAGCCGGCCTCCTGTTTCTGTCTCCTCTCCCCGAACACCCGGAGGAGAATTTAAATATTACATCGAAGCTGTGTTTCAAATCACATCCACAGATACACCTGCTGCTGCATGTGTGCATGAATAATGTGAGGAAACAAAATGTTTAGAGCATCTTTTAATATTGTACACCGTCCTCCTCTCTCTCTGTCTGTCTCTCTCTCTCTCTCTCTCTCTCTCTCTCTCTCTCTCTCTCTCTCGCTCAGGTGTGGTGTCTCTCTCTCAGGCTCTGTGCTCCACAGATGAATACTCCAACTCTCTGCTGCACCTGGACCTGAGCAAGAACCCCGGGGTGCTCTCAGGGGAGGACGCCTCGGTCAGACCCAAACTAAAGCACACAATGCTCCATTTATAGGCAACTCTGCTAGCTTTAAGGGAAATCCTTTTTTAACCAGTACCCTGTTTTTTAACACATTTAGGAGGTAAAGGACCAACTAGAACAAAATGTTTTTTAGTTGTTCCTGCAGATTGCTTCAATTTAGTTGACAGTATGTGAAATGTTGACCTTTAGACCTTTAGACCCCCAGCGATAAAAGCAGGGATTTCATCTCACAGAACAACAGGAGTTCATGGTCTGCCACTGCTGCAATAAGTTTTGTTTTTGTAATTTTGTGTTAAAACTTTTTTTTTTGTTCCACACATTCACATCACAACACAAAAAACTGATGGTGATGTAGCCATAGTCAAATAACTCCCATGTTCTGTGAGTCTTTGTCACTGACAGGCTCAGATTGTAATTCTGTGTTATAATGTGGATGTTGGGGTTTGAGATGGTTTATTTGGATCCAGCATAACATTTTATAACACAAAATTACAAAAATAAAATAAGACACAACAAAACTTATCGCAGCAATCAATGGCCGACCAGCAACTCCTGTGTTCTGTGAGGAAGGGGCGTGTCCAGACCTTTATGTGTGGTGTGGCCCAACTGGGGCACTGACTTGTGCAGGACTGGAGTTTGTGTGCACCCAGCTGAATGAACGGCATTTATTTGTTTAAATAGCACAAGAAAATGGCTTTGAAGAATCTTAATTCTTTAAGGTCTCAAAAAAAGATGTACGTCCAAAGTCACAATTAAATCTGCAAACAAACATCTGAACACTGAAAACACACAGCACAACGCCTGAGTGGTGGATTTCAATTTAAGAAGCCAATAATAGTTTATGATTTTGGGGTCGCACCTGGGGTGGCCAACATGATTTCAAGAGGGGGGACACATGCCACCCCTGGCCAACCCTCTGGACACGCCCCTGCTGCGAGGCCATATCCCTGTTTTTTGTTAATGGAGTCTGCTGCAGAGATCAATGTTATCTGTTTCTTATTAAATAGACCAGGAGGTCTATCTCAGCAGGGAACCATTCTGTAATGTTGTAAGACTCCTACAAGAACAACCTGAGCCTGTCACAGACTAAAATGACACATTTTTGTTGACACACTTTGATGTTTTGCATTTAAAACTTTGCAGAAATGACAGCTTGTGCATTTAACTGGACCAATTTCAAATCTTTTTCATTTAAAAAACCTGACCTAAAATATGCCAACACTGGTCACTTTAACAAAACAAGACCAAGTTCTTCTTTATTATGATATCTCTTGTTCTTTCTCGCTGTCTTTTTTTTGTGTTTGCAGAACTTGTATCTGTTCCTGTCTCAGCCGAACTGCCTGGTCCATTTGGATCTGTCGGGCACAGACTGCTGTGTGGACTCTGTGAGTATTTCATGGTCAAAGATGATCAAATGTTAATGTGTAACTCAACATAAATCATTTTTCTCTCTGCTCAGATTAACCTTCTCCACCCTGTGTCTCATGCAGCTATTTGGGGCTCTTCTGAGGGGGTGTTGCGCTGATCTTTCCTTTCTGAATCTTTCCAAAAATTCCTTCTCCCACAGGTTAGTCATGACTTTAAGATTAGCAACACATTAAATGCAGCAGCAGGTCCAAATCATCAGATCCTTAATCCACCTTAAAAACCTCCTCCCTGTCTCTATCTCCTTCTTCCATTCCGTCACTGCCTCCATCTTTGACTTGATGTGGAATGAGCTTTGTGGGGATCTTTGTGTTTCCTCTCTGAGGGTATGTCTGCTGCCGTTTAAAACCAGAACTCAGTCTGCATAGATAAGATTCATGAATATTTAAGCAGAGTTATCTTTCATTTGACCCGGCTCACTCCCTCTTCTTCCTTCAAAGCAATATTAACTCTGCTTCTCATTCTGTGTCAGTAATCTGGCTCATATTTACCCAGCGTGTGTCAGTGGTGTGTGGCAGCTCCTCTCCCCATCCCTCACTGTAGCTCTCTGTCTGTTTCTCTTTCTGAATAATGTTTTAGATTTCTCAATATAACCAAAACACCTCGGACATCAGCAACAACACCAAAAAGACTGTTAAGCTGTTTTCACATATGAACATTTCTTAGATCATTTCAGGAGGACTGCTCCTGAAATCCTCCTGATCTGGTTGTTCACCCATGCACTCCGTAGAAGGGACTATTCCTTGGAGGGGGGGGGGGTACTCAGGAGGCAAGATGGATGTAAAAAGAATGACATGGAATTGGCAAACGAAGCAACAGGGCAGCTATACGGCGCAATAATGAAAAAAATGTCTTAATATCAATGCTACCTGTTGTTCACAGAATCACAGTATGGTATTAAAAAACATTACGTGGTGCAGACAGTATATGCAATCTATGGTCATGCACCGATCGCAGTGAATACACTCCCCCCCCCCAAAATCGCTGGAGGGGAATTCTCCTGATTATATCCTGCTGCATTCTCACTTCAATTCACTCTGACTTTGTGCAGAAAAAATACTTAGGGTTGCTGGCAGGAGAAACTCTGGATAAAAAAACGTCAGCGTTAGCGTTCACACATGCAGCTTACCCTGAAAACATCAGGAGTTTTATTTTAGGAGTGTTATGGAAGTGAATGAAAACAAAACATCTTTTAGTTTATTTTAAAATGTAATATTATTCAAAATGAAATCCTTCCTCTTTTAATTCTGTTTTAATGAAAGTGGCTTAAATCGCTACAAAGTGTCCACTGATTATAAATTTCATGGATTCAACCCGTTTCAAATTAATAAACTGTTTTAATACAGTTTTATCTGAGTTACTCTGCTGTCCAAACGAATGTAGCTCAAATGTTTGTAAGAAACTTCTGGGCTGCATATATCTGTGAAATGTTTCATGAGACAAAGCCAATTTGTCTTACAGATTAAGAAGAGCTCACCTCTCTTTCATCTTTTGTCTGTTAGGAAAGTGAAGGACACGCTGCCTCTGTTCCGTCAGTTCTTCAGCTCGGCCTTCAGCCTCAGCTATGTCAGCCTGGCCTCGATGAAGCTGCCCCCCGATGTTCTGAGGTACTCACCGTGTCACCTCCTATTACCCTACACAATCTGCCCCCTTTCATCCTCTCTCTCCTCTCCAATAAATGCAGATTTAAATCACACGGATATCATCTTTTACTCCCCTCTTTTTTACCCCGTCTCCACAGGGCTCTGCTCACGGGGTTAACCTCCAACCCTCACATCAACGACCTTCATCTGGACATCAGCGGCTGTGAGGTAACACTTCCTTTCTCCACCAGTTAGAAACGCTCAGGTCAGTGGCGGTTCTAGACCACTTTTACTAAGGGGGCCAAACTGGGGCCAGTTGTTTTGTCAGAGGGGAACATTAAACCCAGGGGGAAAATAGACAAAGACGATCGCTTTAAAAAATATATATGTATTATGCCAAATAATAACGCACATCATTAAATACCACAATATGAAATACCATGATTTATATTTGTTTCAGTAACAGAATTTAATAGATTGTGAGTCTGGTTGTTGGATCAAATACTAGGGGGGTTCTTCCTTTTGGAGGGGTGGCCACAGGGGGGGCCAAGCTCAGTGTTACAGGGGCACTGGCCCCTGTTGATCCCTGTTGGCCCCTGTTGGTCCCTGTTGGCCCCTGTTGGCCCCTGTTGGTCCCTGTTGGCCCCTGTTAGCCCCTGTTGGCCCCTGCCTAGAACCACCCATGGCTCAGGTTGAAGGGCTAGTTTTTCTGTCCTCATCCAGAGTCTCAGGCTGCATTTCCAGGACTCGTAGTGAAAGTAGGTCTTCTTCATGGCCTGGTCTGCTTTACCTTGAGGGTCCTTAACCTGCAGAGATTCTGACTATTAGTCTGCTGGAGTTTGAAAATTCACATCAGTTTTACACAGTTTTTCATGACATTTTAACAAATAAATGGACGGATATTATCTTAAGGTGATATATGTCTCCGGGGAATGATGGATAATTTCACTGTGATTCTGCTTAAGCCTGCGTTTCGCGATATCTGCCTTCCAGCTTCCATGCGCCTTATTCTTTACTGTCAAATTCACAACTACATAACTATTTCTTATTTATTTTTAACACCACTCTGTTAACCGCTTATAACAATTGTTTATGACCTATTTGTCATGCTTTAAATAGAACCACTTGTATGTGTGTGTTTCTGTTGTTTTTGTGTCTAGCTGTATGTGCACTGATGCTCTTTTACACAAATGAAGTTCCTAACGGATAAATAAAGTTATTAGAATTGAATTTGAATTGAAATTCATAACTTGAGTGAACGTGTGTTCAGATGAAAAGAGAAGCCAAATGATCCCCTCCATATGCAAAAATAAACGCTGTCATTTCTGGGTGAATTAAATCCCTCAGAGGAGCGCCCGTTCATCTGTTTCTGGTGAGGCTCAGTTTAACTGTTAATAGTAAATTACACAGAGGCTTCCCTCTGGATTACTTCAGGGGTATGAACCTGAAAAAGAAACAGATTTTATTGTTATTTTACTCACATTCACAGGTCTGAAGTTTGTTTAACTAACAACATGAAGCAGGTATGTAAAAAGTCAAAAGTCACTCTTTGTCAGGTCCTCCTCAAGACGAGAAGAAAACAACTTTTGTTTGTTGAATGGAGGTCGGCTTGATCATTTGTGATGTATTCAAGGAAGTCAGGAAATCTGAATGCTGATGTTCATGACAGCATGATGCAGATTTGTGGCTCGGAATTAAATGTTTGATCGATAACAGATTGTTAGCTGTTCCTACATTAAGATTTCATGCTTATTTATTTATTTATTTATTTATTCATTCACTAAACAACATTTGTTTTTGTACCATAGACACTTTTTACTTCCCTACTCTCAATCTTACACAAACATATTTCTCTTGTTTATAACTACCAATATATATTTATATAAGTGAACAGAATTTTATTTTTAACGCTCCTGTACAGGACTGCTGCTGATAAAGTTTTGTTGTGTTATTTTATACAATGACTATTAAGAGTCTATCCTATCTATATCAGTTTATAGAGAAAAATAAATCGTCATGAGATAAGTGCTGAGATATCATTATGATGGATTTTTTGTTTCAGTTCAAGTTAAAAGAAAGTCATATGAGAAAAGTCTCTGTGATACGAGTGTCACTGTCGCAGCTCACCTGATTACCTCACTGAAAATGTTTTAAGAAAAATACTTTAACCTTTTTGTTACATGTGTATTCTGCAGTCGTTCATTTGATGTTGATGAAGTTTATTTGACCTCAAACTTCCAGCTGAATATTTCATCCTGGCCGTTTTAGAATTATTCTGATCATTTATTTCAGCTAATTAAACCTTACTGTAACGGCACTAAAGTTGTGCAACATTTGTTCAAAGCATAAAAAAGATTTTGATTATGACTATTTTGTACTTTCTGTTGGATTTACTCACCGATGCAGTCATGTTCAGTCAGCATTTTAATGTTTCAGCTCATCAAGATGGATATAGACTTAATTACTTATACATTAACTTGTAACTGTAGTTAAAATGAAGATGTATGAATAACAATATTATTCTTTAAAGGGAACTAAAGGATTGGTCTGGGTTCCTCTAACACTGTTTGAGTAAACTGACTCAATGATATCAAACTTCCAGTGCCTGTTTATGTGTCCCAGGAGTTATCCAGTTTGTCATAATATTTATTTATTTCAAAGAAAGCTAACACTGAGCAGAGCGGCGGCAGAGCTCAGCATCAGATTGCTTCAATAAATCTGCCTCACTGTGGAAAAAATAGAACAAATCCCCAAAGACTGAACTGACTCAGATTAACTCTGTTTGTTTTTCCTGTCTCTCTTTGTGTCTCCAGCTGAGGTCTGCAGGAGCTGCTGTGATCCAGGAAATCTTCCCCAGAGTCTCCTCCATCGGCACGCTGGATATCTCCGACAACGGTATGCTGCAGCTCGTATCTCTGTGACCTTCACTCTCCTGTCCTCAGGCAACGCCAGGGCCTGGCTAATCAACCCAGCCGTGTCACATGTATATCTGTATAATGTGTGTGTGTGTGTGTGTGTGTGTGTGTGTGTGTGTGTTTACAGGGCTGGATGCAGACCTTCTCACAGTCCTGCCAGCGCTCTCCAGACATCCATCGCTCAAACACCTTCATCTGGGCAAAAACTTCAACATCAAAAACAGGTGCTGCGGGTGCTGCAAGTCACGCTTTACTGCACTTATTAATGTGTGTGTGTGTGTCTGTGTGTGTTTGCGTGTGTGTGTGTGTGTGCGTGCGTGCGTGCGTGCGTGTGTGTGTGTGTGTGCGTGTGTGTGTGTGTGCGTGCGTGTGTGTGTGCGTGCGTGTGTGCGTGTGTGTGTGTGTGTGTGCGTGTGTGTGTGCGTGTGTGCGTGCGTGTGTGTGTGTGCGTGCGTGCGTGCGTGTGTGCGTGCGTGTGTGCGTGTGCGTGTGCGTGTGCGTGTGCGTGTGTGTGTGTGTGTGCCAGCTTGTGTTTGCGTGCATGTGATTGTGCTTCCGCTGCTCCTCGCTGGCAGCAGGAAATGACTCGCTCTGGCTCATCGGGCCCGGCTCTGTGTGTGTTTTGTGTGTCTGCAGGGTTCTGGATGAAGTCCTGCAGAAGCTGGTGCAGCTAATACAAGAGGAGGAGTGTGTGAGTCACTCAAACACACACTTTAACATGCTTACTTAGCATTTTGCAGACTCTGGGTCTATGCAACATAACAAATCATCAAATAGACAATTGAACACATTGAAAAACAATTGATCAGACACAGAAAAGTTCACAGATTCCAGTTTCATTATGATCATTGTGGATCTTTTAAGTTTGCATTAGAAATCATCCCACAGTATGTTAGTTTGTAAATTATTATTGTGTTGTCATCATTTTGAGTTTTTTCCAATGCTCTACATACGATGACCGAAAAGAGGCAATCACACTGCAACTGGCTGCTAAATAGAATAGAATAAAATAGAATAGATGTTTATTGCCATTTGCACAGGTACAGGACAGTACAGGTACATTGGAATTTCTCCCTGAGTCAGCTTCTACAAAAAAGTTAAAATTATATACAAAATAGAATAGTATTATAAGAAAGAAAAAGAGTAGAAAAGTACAAATAAAAAATAGAATAATAAACAAGTTTTAGTAACTAAGTAAATTAAAATAAACTGTACAGAAGCTATACACTGTATTAAAGCAAAGATATAATACAAAAAATAACAAAGGGGAACACTGTACAATGAAATGAAAATAGAAATAAGTTTTCTTGTCTCTACTTTCTACATCTCTTATTGCACCTGAGGTTAAAGGTTTATGTATTTGTTAGGTAAAAATGGACACATGCAAAAGTCCTAAACAAATGAAACAAACTGATTTGGGCTGAAAAAAAGACAATACAATAAACAATGCATAAAAAGCACACAAACTCAGAGAACAGCTGCTAAAATAAAGGCTACTGTATGCACTCATTTCTACATCGTTTCTGAATTTGCAGCGTTTCTCTTAATGTAAATCATTATGCTGGTTGCAGTGCGATGGCCCTTGGCCGCCCCCATAGCTTCATATCCCTTAAATCTGTACAACTTAGTGAATAGGTTATGAACAGAATTCAACCAGGATGAATGAAAATAGATGCATCATGAGCGTGATGACAAAAAGACTGAAGCCTATAGGCTCTCTGCTGCACAGGAAGCTCCAGCTGTTGATTTTGATTTCCGAACAGTTGAGGATCATTTGAACTCTACTCGTGCAGCCACTCTAGTCAAGTTTTTATATTTGTACTTCTTTCAAGACCAAAAATAAAATGACAGTATCATCGAATGTTGAACAAAAAGTCATTTATATTTGTGCATTATGTACGAGCATCAACATGTCACTGTAGCATTAAATATTACTGCTGTGTTTCACCCTGACAGGAACAGTGAGTGTATCACAGCAGCACACGTTCTGTGAATCATTTATACAAACAGCATGTGAAGTCACATCACCCCCCCCCCACGGCCCCTCTCCTCCTGCCAACGCTCTGTTTTACTCATGTTACTTATTTATTATCACTATTTTTCAACACACATGTCCCTCTTCTTCCTCTCACTCCTCTTCCTCTTCTTCCTCCTCCTCTCCCTCCTCTTCCTCTTCCTCCTCCTCTTCCTCTCCCTCCTCTTCCTCCTCCTCTTCCTCTCCCTCCTCTTGCTCTCCTCCGCTCCCTCCTCTTCCTCCTCTTCCTCCTCCTCCTCTCCCTCCTCTTCCTCTTCCTCCTCCTCTCCCTCCTCTTCCTCTGTCTCCTCAGGCCCTGCAGTCTCTGTCTCTGACTGAGTCTCGCCTGCGCTCTCGGGGCACCGTGCTGGTCAACGCTCTGGGCAGTAACACCTGCCTGAGGAAGGTGGACCTGAGCGGGAACAACATGGACGACATCGGAGCCAAGATGCTGAGCAAAGCACTGCAGATCAACACCACGCTCAGGTGAAGGGAACAGATCCTCTTTGTTGTAACTTTTAGTCTAACTGGGGTTGAAGTAGTCTTCAGAAGTGGCTTAAAGGGGGCGCGCTGGTGGCGCAATGGTTAGGGCGCGCGTCCCATGTATTGAGACTCTCGTCTCGAGTGGTAGGCCCAGGTTCACCTCCACCCGTGGCCTCTTTCCACATGTCATTCCCCGCTCTCTCTCCCTGGTTTCCGACTCTATCCACTGTCCTCTCTCTACATTAAAGGCACGAAAAGCCCAAAATAAATCTTTTAAAAAAAAAAAGTGTTTTACTGAGTTTTTATTTCTGCTTTTTTTAACTCACTGTGTAGCACTTTGGTAAACTTTGTTTTTTTTTATAAATAAACTGGATGGGATCGTTCTGTGTGGAAGTCTGCATTCATTGCATCTCATGTCTTTCCCCCTGCAGGAGTGTGACATGGGATCGTAACAACACCTCCGCAGCAGGATTTCTAGACGTGGCCCGGGCGCTGGAACAGTAAGAGCGACATTAAAAAAATCAAGTTTGTAAATGCATGCTTAAATAAATAAGAAAGACATCTTCAGTATTTTCTGCAAGAGACGGGAGCCGGATAGATTTACTCTCCTATTTTAAGGTATTTTATGTGTTTTGAAATATGCAACATGAGCCGAGTAAATTGCTGCTTTTCCACTCTGCTATCTGAAACGGTCCAGACTTCCTCGGGGCTGAGGATGACATGGTTGCAGAGATCAAAGTATTACTCAGTGGTTGCGTGGTGTGGGAGGATATTTTGGGATGAGCCCGGTCCATCGGGGGATGTTAACCTTATCTAACCCTGAATCTAACCCACTTTATCTCCTCTCTTCAGCCCGTCACTGTCTCCTTTAATAACCCTTTCTCTTCTTCGTCTGCTGTTTCCTGTCACAGTAATTTCACCCTGCAGTACATGCCTCTGCCTCTGAGCGACATCAGCCAGGCATACCGCAGCGCCCCCGAGAGAACGGAGCAGGCACTCACTAAGGTGGGCGATCAGAGAGCGACCTGTCAATGAAGTCATTACTAAAATATACATTTTTTAATCTTTGAGGTTTTGATGAAAGCAGTAGATGTTGGTGGTGTTGTCTCACATCTTCAAAAAGCAACTTTTCACTTCATCTGTTTGCTTTGGGATCAATAATTCATCAAAATGATCCAGACAGAAAAAAAACTAGATCAGAACGGATAAAAATCTACTTTGATGTGTTTTCAGCCGCTGCTGGAGGCATTTTTTATTTAAAATGAAACAAGAAAGATGTTTAACATTTATCAACAGAAAGAATAAAAACTTCAAACATTTAGGTCAACTTTCTGCCCAAAGTAAATAAAAATAATAATAAATTAACAACTAAGGGGAAAATAAAGAGAAAAAGATAGCAATGTAGAACTCCATATATTTATAAAATGGGCAAAAACCTTTTAAAAACCTGTTATTATAAAAATACATGATTTTATTGTGTGATAACAGAAGCTTTCATAAGATTATATTTCTAATAAATACTGTGATGATAAATAACGACAGTAGTCAAGTCCTTCCTCTTCCTTCAGGGAGCACCAGTTCTACCTGTCATTATGTCGGCCTGTAGGCTGTGTACATGTTGGGAAGAGGTGGGCGGATATATAATCACACACCAGGAGGCTTCCTGTAACGTTTATGAAAATGATTGTGTTTCCTGTTTGTACTTTGCTGATATTACAATGATCACTAATCAAAAGAAATGACCCAAACAGTGAAAATATATCTCACTAATACTACATGAATGTTTTGAATCAGCTCTAAGGGTAATTATTTAACTTCTAAACCTTGGCCATATCTTGGCCAGTCTATCATGTGAAATTTTATGGGTTCAAAAAAGTCTGACTTGCTTGTGTAGATGTCACATGCAGGCTGCAGGGACACAAATATAATGTTGTCAAATCAAAGTGCGTCCACTAAAAGTTGTTGTTTTGTGTAACTGACAGGCTATGATTGTTATATAAGTGTCTGACAACATTAATAAACAGATCCCTACAGAAATAGGGTTCAAGATTTAAAGGCATTAAGATAGATGGATAGTTGTACTTTATTGATCCTAATCTAGGAATGTTTGCAGCAGCAGGTTATCAAAACAAACAGCTAATAAACCCGAACAATAAAATAAATGAAACATCCATGAATGATTTAAAACAGTGATAAATAACATAACAGGGAGGTAGAGGTAACAACAGAGAACTAAGGTCCCTTCTGTGATGTCATCAGACACAATCTGAGCCTTTCATTTGCAAAAAAAAAAGCCCTTATAGCTCCTACTCTCCTCTTTAAAAGAGCCTTCTCCTAAAGACCTTTTCCCTTAAACCACTGCTTTTAGATCTTGTTTTATGCTTAGGTTCTTAACTATGATTTTACCTTTGACTATTGCTACTGTTTTTATGGTTTTATTGAAATTGTAGCACTTTGAGATTTTCGTTTAAATGTGAAGTGCGTTATAAATCAAATGTATTATTATTGTTATTATTATAGTGGATGTACTCTGAACAAGTGAATTCATCTTGAATTGATCTGAATGTTTCAGCTCATTTCACAGCTGACAGCAAAAGAAATCTACTGGAGCACATCCACAACTTGTATACCTTTTAGTCACGTAGACTCCAAACCAATGACACAGCCGCTCCTTTGTTTTCTACAGAAACTGTATCTTCTGTTCCTTCAGAAACATGTGTTCTCTTTAATGAAGTGTTCAGGTGTGATTGATTCCCGTGTCTCTGTGCACAGATCCAGCGCTCTCTGGTGAGGAACAACCAGACGCAGCGTTTCTCTCAGCGCCAGGCTCTGCGGCTGCACCAAGGCCTGGTGACGAGCACGGCCGAGCAGGTATCGCTCCTCTGCTTTTTTCTCTCACCTCGGCATATGTTTGTGTGTTTCATGTTTCTTTTAACACTCCCCCGCCTGTCTGTTTCCAAGGTGATGGAGCGGCTGTGTGTGCGCGTCCAGCAGCAGGTGTGTGTGTTACGAGGCGTCGGGGAGATGGAGGAGATTCAAGCTGCTAAACAAGTGCTAAAAGAGGCCAGGAACTCCCGCGCTGTGAGTGATGGGAAATGTGTGAGCACATTGTTTTGTATTCCTGTCAGACAGACGTTTGAATCCAGGTTTCTCTCTCTCCATCAGCTGTACCCGTCGCTGTGTGAGCTGGCTCATGTTCTCTCTGTGGACGGCCCCGTGCGGCAGAGACTCGACTCTCTGGCGGGGGAACTCACTAAAGCTGCAGACAAGGAACTTCAGGTAGATCTTTAATCTGACAGATTCTACATAGAGATGATGAATCTGTACACGGGGGGTTCGGATTGTCAGCATGTGAAGTGTTCTGGTTTTCATGTGTAGAACATTTGTAGTCTCGAGCTGTATTGACCAATCACGTATCAGCAGGCTTTGTTGTGTGCAGGAGAAACAGTCTGTGTTGACAGCAAACAAATGTTATGACATACCAGCTCCAATAGGATAATCTAATGATGAGTTATCTATGTCCAACTCAGATATCTGAATGAAAGTGGAGCTGACAATCCATTATAGATCAAACATCACAGCTTGATCCACAAATCTGCTTTTTCTTTTTCCTGACTTAAAGTTACAGTTCACCCAAAATGCACGACACAATAAAGCCAAGTGGCAACCTCCAGTGTTGAAAAAGTGACACCAATTTGGAAGTGACTATAACCTGCAGTTTCTCGGGTATCAAATTGAGGCTAGCTCCAAAAGACCCGGAAGTCCAATACACAGCCAATTTTAAAATGTCCACGACAGCAGAAATAAACATGTTTACGGCCTGATCCACAAATCTGCTTGACGCTAGCATTTAGATTTCCCGACTACCTGAAACGCATCAGAAGTGATGGATCCGACCTCGATTCAACAAACAAACATTTTAAAAGTAGTTTTCTTCTCTTCTTGAGGATGCACCTGGCAAAGCTGTCATGTTTTCTTTTTTTTTGGGCTAATACTGCTGATGGGAGTCGGAGTGAACCCGCTGTGTATTTTATATTCTTCTGTAGATCTGAGACTCTACAGATGAACAGGCGTTACTCTGTCATGTTAAGGACCAAGAGTGTACTTGTAAACGCAGCGCCGAAGAAGGACGCTTTGCCTGGAAGTTAACTTACTGCCGGCGTCAACAGAATTACAGAGAAATTAACTTTAGTTTCCTGAGGCAGATATCGTCTATCAGACACCTTTGGATAATGATTGCAGAAGGGTTCAGAGATTGAGTAGATCTTAACCTCTCTTCTCACACCCTGAACTCTGACGGCTGAATTAAAAAGGCAAAGACCAAAACAAATGTCATGACTGAAACACAATGTGAATGAAGAAACAAGCTGCAGAAAGACAAACACTTGCATCAGCATCAAACGTGCTGCAAATGATGAAAAGTCAAAACACACAAATACATAAAACATCTGCACAAGCTAAACGCTGCAGATACAACCTTTTTCTGGATGTGTGTGTTTTTGATTTTGCATCGTTTGTTTTTTTGCAGAGCATTTGCTGTTATGCAGTTGTTGTCTTTTTTTCCAGCACTTTTTATCTGCAGCTCGTTTCTTTCATAGCATTCATCTTGGTCTTATGTGTGTTTTCAAATGCAGCGCTTTTTTCTTAATGTTAATTATTTGGGCCCTTAGGTATTTCGTATAGTTTTGTAATGTATTTGCTGGTTGTAGTCTGATGTGTGTCTATTGATGTTTTAGTATTTTGCTGTCTTTATTTGTTTTATTTTTATTTATTTTTTTACTGTGTTTTGGAGTTGTTGTCCTGACCTTGTCTGTTTGATTTTTTTGTGCCTAATTTGTTATGTATATGTCACCAGTTTGTCACTCTATTGCACCTAATAAAAAAATATTAAAAATAAAAAATACCAAATAATGAATTAAAAAATAATAATTAAAATTGAAAATTGAAAAAATTGAAAATTAAAAATTGAAACTAAAAACTAAAAAAATAAAAAATAATAATAATAATAAATAATAATAATAATAATAATAATTTGGGCCCTTGCACGTCAGCTTCACTTGTCACAAATCGTACTGATTCCCTTTAGATGAGTGAGTTTCTGATCCTGGTCTTGATCTGCAGGTGATCGTGGACTCCATGGTGTCATTGTGTCGGGAGCTCTGTCCTTTATCCTCGACTGCAGCAGAGAGGTTGACTCCTCCGCTCTCCTCCGTCTCCGAGCGTGTCTCCATCCCTCGCTCGGCCATCCGGACCGCTCTGATGGAGAGAGCGGCGCAGGACATTCACCGAGCCTTAGAGTAAGACGGATGTAGAGAAGGGAGAAGTGCAGCAGTATTACATCTGAATGTGATAAGCAGGTTTATTGATTTCCTCTCACTTATACAAAAACCTCTTCCCGTCTGTTGCTCTAACTCAATCTCATGCAGAGAAGTGAAGCTGTCTGTCGTTTCATATCTCACCAACTCCATCGTGGATCAGATCCTGCAGGAACTCTATGCCACACATAAGACTCTGGTAAGTAAAAAAAAAAAAGGTACTTTAAAAGATATCATGTGTCAGAGATAAAGTCATTAAGAGTATGTTTCTGTGCGTCTCAGACTCGGCAGGTGTCTCATCTAAAGCGTTGGGACGGGACGTGTGAGGACGGGACGGGCTGGAGGTTTAACAGACACAGAGACTCTCTGGACATCACAGACGAGGAGCTCAGCACCAGCATAGTGAGTGTGGATGTACAAAAAAAAACATGCATTTCCTGTTTGAATGGCTCATCATGTTGTGGTTAATATCCAGCTTCTAATTCTTTAATGTCTAATTTGGAGAAATGTTGGAGCTCAAAAATCATTGGCAGCATCAGATGTTTTCCCATCAGGCCGTGTTTTCCTTTTATGTTTCATTTCTTTTATCGTCATCCATCTTGTAAATGTTATGAGTAAGCTTGTTTCTGATCCAATAAATAACAACGCCCACACACATTTTAAAGGCATCAGACTGCTGTACACATCGTGTCACACAGTTTTTTATTTTACAACAGAGCGCATTTTGGTCTCCATCGGCCACACATGACGGTTATGTTTTGCAAAGGTTTTCAGGTAACACTTTATATTAAGGTGCTGGTAATAAGCATTAAATAACAGGTAATAAGTCACTTATAAGACCTTATTAGATTCTTATTAACACAAATAAGACTACATAAATGTTAATATAGGCATAATTAACACATTTATTATATCTTATTAGACACTTATAGGCTCTTATTAGAAATGTATTAACACTTTATATACCGTCATAAACATTAATAAGATGTTTATTAACTGTTAATTAGTTAATAATTAATTTGTGTTAATTAATATCTTACAAGCCAATTATAAATTTATTTATAGTTTAGTTAACACTCATGAAGTTTTATTAATGTTAATAAACATCTTATTAATGTTAATGACGGTATATAAAGTGTTAATACATTTCTAATAAGAGCCTATAAGTGTCTTATAAGACATTATAAATGTGTTAATTATGCCTATATTAACACTTACATAGTCTTATTTGTGTTAATAAGAATCTAATAAGGTCTTATAAGTGACTTATAAGTGACCTATTACCTGTTATTAATGCTTATTACAAGCACCTTAATGTAAAGTGTTATCGGTTTTCACTCCCATGGATCCCAGAGCAGCTCTCCAATCTCCAAACTGTGTTTATAAAAAAAAAAAAAATACATGTAGTGATACAGAGAGGATGAAAATTGAGGCAGCAGTTCTGTCCGGCAAAAAACTGATTTCTGCAAAAACTCAGCATGCATCTTACCTGTAAGAAAAGAAATGATTCAGGTTTGATGACATATATGTAACCTGGATAATTCAGCTTGTGAAGGTGTGATTGCATGGGTAAAAAGTGAACTCAAAGAATAATGTAAATTGCAATTGATTGAACTTGAGATTTGAGTCATTAAATATAGTTTAGTTTTCTTCTAGCCAGGACCCTGACACAGAGTTTGTTTGTTGTTCTATTCCAGTGGTCTCCCTTTTTCCGTCTGACATGGGCAGTCGGGGGGGTTTTTGCAGTCTGTTATAAAACTTTCATATTAGAAGTTTGTTGTCTTTCATCTTAAATGCATCAATGTTTATACTTTCTTCTTGCTTGTTTACCATGGCAGTTCTACAACTCACTAACAATCAGTTTTGGCAAAACTCGGAGGAACTGGTGGGCTTTTGTCTGAGTTCTGCCCTTTAAACGTTACACTGGTCAGAATCTGAAAGACCCAAACTCCCCCACAGAAGACGCTCTAAAAAAAAAACTTGGTTTGAACATCTTGTTGTTGATTCACTTGTGGTTTGGCTTTTTCCCAGATCGATTTAAGCAGCCTTGTTATTCCTGCACGCTAAACCAGACTGGCATCAATATAAAACAAATGTAAATATATGAAAATTTAAGTCTGTACACATTGATTTAGTTATTCCTTCTTTACACATCATCACAAAGACCACCCCGGTTTTCTTTTCCTTCATTTATTAGCTTTTATAACTTCAGGTTCAAGCGGCTCTACTTGTGTCTTCGCTCATACTCAAGGCTTTCATAATTTGGTCTTTCATCCCAAAACTTCAAAGAGTTCATTTATTTTTTATCAAGGACCAATTCTTTGATTCCCAATTTCTCTAGTTCCTCATTTATTACAAACCCTTACATTTCAAATTAGTTTCCTGAGCTCCATTTCTTCTTCTCATTAAAGTGCAGACCTCAACTTTCCCTGCTATAAAGAGCTTCTGTTTCTTTATCGTCGTCTGAACCTTAAACTGAATCTTAAGCTGAATAAATCCTCCGTGGCTGGAAGCTAGGGAAAGCAAAGTAAACCTCAGAGATAATAAATCTGCTGACGGACTATAAGATGGGCTCAATATTTAGAAGAAAAACAGGTGAAACAGCTGGAGCAAACACTTTCTCCGTCGTTATCTGAAGAATCTGCCAGGAGCCTGAAGCTCTTTTCATCACAGTCAGTTCTGTCATTATGTCTTCGTACACCTCCGGCCTTTATGTCTCCTTCACCTGCCGAGAATTTAAAACAGTTTTATTAAAAATGCTAAACACACTGTACCTGCACACTAACTCTTCTGTACTGGCTTTTTACTGCTAATAAAAGTGATTTAATACCAATTTCTCCCTCGATTCATCAGAAACAGGATGTCAAAAACAACAACTTGCTGTGTTTTTATTATGCCTCATGATGTCCTTTACAAAGACTGTTAGACAGCTGTGACAATTTTCTTGCCACATATTAACATATCTCAAACCTTCAGCAGTTACACTTCTCCAAGTTAAACAATCCCTTTAATGGATAGTTTAAAAAAACGTATCTTCCAATCTCCAAAATCATCAAGGAAAGTCCTTGATAATTTTGTTTTTCTCTCCGACATGTTATCTATTCAGTCAACACCAATATACTTTAGTCCATTTTAATATGCTTTATATATTTTTCACACTTAAATGTAACAGAAATCAAGTATATCCTCTGAAAATAATTATGTTAGTAATGACTGTCTACAATGGGTGTAACACACGAGTCCCACTGTCTGTGATGCTTTTCGAGTTTTCCGAGTCCTGTCTTCAGTTTGTTTACATCGCCGGGACGGCCGGCTGACTCTCCCCTCACGTATAAAAGTTGTTTAATTGAGGACTCAAGAAAAGAAGAATAACATACTGTACTCACTGCTTAATTGAATGTCACTAAAGCGTTTCTAGATCACGGTCATTTCAGGTAAATTTACATGCAGTGTGAAGATACGAGCATAATAAAGATCGCTAGCATTAGCATGCTAACACAACAATGCAGCGCGAGTTGTTTTGGTTTCATGCTGGTGCTCAAGGGCGACATCTGCTGGATCAAAAAATCGCATATAAAGCCTTTAACCAAGATTAGGACATCAAACAGTTAGGGTAGTTTTTAAGAAATATTGATATTACTTTAGGAGTTCCTCAAGGATCTGTCATAGCCCCCTTCATTTTCTCTCTTAAAAAGTGTAAACCTTATTATTTAGATCGTTTTATCTTTAGGGCGATGTGCAGATGACTCTGTTGTTCCTCACAGTAAAACCAAACAAGTATAATAATGTCTCCTTTGGCTTTGATTGACAGTCATATTAGATTTGTGTCATGGAATAATGTTATTTTAACTGATGATCTTTCAACTTTAAAACGTATCAAAAAAATAAAATGCAAGCCAGGTTTTTATTTTAGAGAAAAACTGTAACTTATCTTAATTTTGCCATGAGAGCAGAGATTGTTTTCTTTCTCTTGTTTGACTTTACTGATCTCATTAGCCCATGAGAATGCTTAGAAGTATCTGGTTACTGTTAACCACAGCACTGCTTACAATTGTGGGTCGACAAAAAAGTAGGGCTGAGGACAACAGGAATATCATACATTTTTCAAGTATTTGGAGTATTTGATCTTTTGAAACTGTTGCCTGGGGGCGCCGGTATTGTAGTGTTTAATGCATGCACGATCATGTATGAAGGCTATAGCCCTCCAAGCAGGCAGATCAGGTTCCAATCTGACCTGTGGCTCCTTTCCCACATGTCAGTTCCCACTCTCTCTCTCTATCTGATTTCCAATTATATCATCTGTCCTACCACTACAAAAAAGGCAAAAAACAAGTCTTAAAAAATAAAATAAACTGTTCCCTGAGCATTGCTCTAAAAGATGACATGCAATCACTGAAGTTATTTAAAATTGACCATGCAGGGAACATGTTTATTAGCACTGAATTCATTATCAAACTATCCAAAAAGTCATGGAGGGTAACAGAAAAAAAGTGAGGACACCAAACGCCATAAGGCTAATCCTCTTGGCTGCATGAACTTGTGCAGAATTTTTGAAAGCAATTATCCAACATTTGTCAAGAAATTGAACCCAAAGTGTTGGACTGTCTGACCATTTGACATGGTCATCTCTAGAGTCATGCCTTGAGAAAACCTAAACCAGCCATCTGCCATCTGTGGTTCAGCTCTCTGCCAAAAAATCTTTGTGAAGAATCATTTCAGAAGCCAGCAGTCAACCTCTCTTTATCTGAGAGTTTCTTGCCAAACATGATCTGAAGGGAGTCATTCATAGCATCAACCGATTGTTCTGTTATCCACCTACCTTATGAAACCCCACTGTGGGCTTGTTTTCTTTTATTGTTCAATTAGTGGGAATCGGCTTGAATTTTTGTGCTGCACTCAACTTGCCTTCATTTGACAGAGGCACAGATTTTTCCTGAACAAGGGTTTGTTTGTTTTGTGCTACATGACATGTTTTCTTGTTTCCCGCTCTTGTTTCTTACTCTAATGCTTCCCCTCAACGTCTCTATATCAGTTTTTCTTTTCCCCCTCCAGGACACAATAGCCATTAAGAAGCGCAGCTCAAGAACAAGACGAATACGACCTGTCTCCACCCGTCTGAGTGAGCACTGACTTTTATCCTCTTATCCTCCTGTCTCCGCTTGTTCCCGTTCGGCTCTGACCCCATCCTGTCTCTTTCAGAGTTCCATTAGTGTCTTTTTCTGTTGACTCTTTCCCGTCTCTGAATCTTAGAAGTCATTTAATGTCTGTTTAAATTCGTTCTGAGCTCAGTTTGTCTCTGATTGTTTTAAATTTGACAACTCTACCGTCTCCTCACTTTCAAATCCTCAATAATCCTTTCGTCGCCGACATCAGGTCTGTGCGACGACTCCAGTTCCTCTCCGCCCCCCTCCGTGCCATCGTACTCCTCCCCGCTGTCCCGCTCGACATCATGGGAGGGCCTGTCAGAGCTGCCGACACAGGGATTGCCTCTCCATCATGTGACGAGGGTTAGACCGAGGCCTCCAAGAAGGCACAAAGGAGGATACATCCCAGCTGAGACGGTGAGGGACTACTTCATGTGCATCCAGGGACATATCCATATCCCATGAAAAGATCTAACCTTGGGCCCCGCCACCACTGCTGTAACCACACCTGCTTTACACAAATGACCCGTTAAAAGCTTCTACTGAAAGGTATCAAAGCTTTTAGAATAAAAAAAGAAGATATTTAGAGAGTTAGAGAAGAATGAGTCCATCAAAAGTTGCACCCAAACCAAAGAGTTTGCCTACAATTGTTTTGGCAATACAAATCAAGAAATTATTCAATATTGGGTGCCTAGGACTCTTTTTTGTTGCCATGGTATCAAAACAGGTATCAATATTGATTGATTTTTATTAGTGTCATATACAACTTAAAATTACTTTTACTTTGTGTTACACCCTTAAAAACTTGTGCATCATTTTGGCATTTGAATAGTTTCTCAGCATCTAAAAGGTCTTGTTTTAATCCCGGTAATTGTTTTTTTTAATTCTATGAGTTAACGAAGGTTCGTTAATCAACAAATTGTACCTTTTCTTTAGAGTTATTAGTTAAAGGCTTTATATGTGATTTTTCACACTTAAATGTAGAAATCAAGTATATCCTCTGAAAATAACTCTGTGAGTCATGACTGTCTACAATGGGTGTAACACCTGAGTCCCACTGTCTGTAATGTTTTCAGAGTTTTCAGAGTCCTATCTTCAGTTTGTTTACATCGCCAGGACAGCCGGCTGACTCCTCCCCTCGTGTATAAAAGTTGTTTAATTGAGGGACTAGAGAAAAGAAGAATAACATACTGTACTCACTGCTTAACTGTGTTTCTAGATCACGCTCATTTCAGGTAAATTTACATGCAGTGTGAAGATACGAGCATAATAAAGATCGCTAGCATTAGCATGCTAACACAACAATGCAGAGCGAGTTGTTTTGGTTTCATGCTGGTGCTCAAGGGCGACATCTGCTGGATCAAAAGCCTTATAAAGCATATAAAGCCTTTAGAGAGAAACAAATCTAAACAAAAGCTACATATTTATTTGGCCCTTCCTCCAAAGGACTCTGGTTAGTCAGTCCCACTTTTCCCCCCCACTACTCCGCCCATGTGTGCATCCAGTATCTTTCTATTTCTCTGTCTCCTGACGTTCATGCCTGCAGGTCATGCTGTTGTCTTTGACTTTGAAATCTAAACAAAATGGAGTGCAACAACTGGATTACGTTATCTCACTGAAACGCATGAAATAGTTTTCTGTTATTGCATATATCAGAACATTTACAGATGAAACAGTGTATTAAATCTGTGTGTGTGTGTGTGTGTGTGTGTGTGTGTGTGTGTGTGTGTGTGTGTGTGTGTGTGTGTGTGTGTGTGTGTGTGTGTGTGTGTGTGTGTGTGTGTGTGTGTGTGTGTGTGTGTGTGTGTGTGTGTGTGTGTGTGCAGCATTGCAGTGAAAATGGAGGAATAAGCCCTCTTGACGATGGTTTCCCAGATTTCTACACTAAGAGAGTTCTACCTGACAGGTGAGACTTTCTGTTTTTACAGTGTTCAGATTGAGTTTCCTCTTTTAATCACTCGAGGTAATAAATCCATCACAGCCAGCACCTTTAAGTCCCTGTCATGACGGGGTGCAGCTTTGAGCTCAAACTTTTTTTTATCTTTTGAGTTTGATTCTTCAACTTTTAAAGCTTGTGGGTAAAATGTTTGATGCTGAGTATTTTAATCTTGATTGATTTTAATGGAGGGTTTTGGTAAAATTGATGAAATGTCACCTGAGGTCGTATTCACCATGATTGGTGTTCTTTTGGGGAAAGTGTAGCAGCAACATCTTGCAAGTCTGCGCTCTGTCATCTAATAATCTACAGCATTACTGGATTTAGAGGATTTGTTAGAAATGTCAGACAACTTTCAGTGTCAAACAAGAGAAGACCAAAACAAAAACAATCCTTCAGGCCCCAGTCAGCACAAAGTGTACATACTGCCTTCAGAGCTACCTCTTTTCTAACCAACACCTCCACTTCTTTATCCAACTGGACAATTGCTCAATGCAAAAACTCAAATCTGACCATGTGTATTTGTCTAATTTCATTTTCGAAGGAAAAAATCCTTTTTTGTGTTCACACATGTAGCTTAAAATATTAGATGGTGAAAGCACCAGCTCTGGCTCAGTAACTTTACTGTGATTCTGTAATTAACTATAAAAACAAAAAGTGTATTCAGGAACAGCTTCTGAGAATATTGTTTCTCCCTTCCCCTCTGCAGATTGTCAGGTTAAGTCTGTGCTTTTATTATGATTACACCTCTGATGTAGAAAAGTGCACTTTAGATAAATCATTGTGTAGCAGGAGGTGTAGCCTAGCAACGCTCAGACCGCTGATGCTCTTGGGGCGGAGAAGACAAACAGACAGCAGAGATGAATTCATCGACATCCTGACAATTCCATCCTGATTGAAGTGCAATGAGTGTGTGACGTGATCCTCTTCTGTCTCTCCCCCCCCCCACTTTCCCCCTCCTTCTCCTTTCCTGCCCCCCCCTCTCCTCTCCTCTCCTCTCCTCTCCTCTCAGTCAGCTCTCGTCTCTGCACAAAGCTCACTCTCTTCGGAGGAAGAAGAGGAAAAACATGCTCGCCATCTTCAGTTTTCGCAAGAACAAGACGATGTCCAATCAGGGGGCGGAGTCTGAGGCTGAGGTTTATGGCGACAGCTGTCACACTGTTGCTACAGCACCAACAGGGTTTGTGTTTGCACGAACACACAGAATCCACACACTGTGTTCAGAAAGATACAGCCTTGAAAAGATAACACAATGCACAGGTGATGTAAGAGATTCAAATACAACATTACAGAGCACTTGTTCCTTTTTTCTTCCATATTCAATTCTCTAAAACTTCACATTTTCTGCTGATCATCCCTCCTCGCTTCTTCTGAGGACAATCAGCAGAACCAAACTCCATCAAATCTCTGACAAACATCGCTCTGAATCTGCTCGTTTCTTTGTTGATAGGAGAAATAGCTGATGGCTGCCAGCGTGCAGCAGAGTGTGTGCACAGATGTAGGAGACAGCCGGTGGCTCCCATTGTCAGCCGAGCGATTAGAAAGGAACTCGCTTGCATGTTAAACACAGATTAGAAAAGCAGGATGGCAGATTTCTGCAGGAAAAAGTTTGCTACATTTCTGTGGAAACATGAACAGACTTTGTCACAAATGTTTTATGTGACTGTTTTTTTTTTTTTTCATTTTCCAGGACGGCCACAGAGAACGTGTACACTCTCCTCCAGCCTCCGAGGTCCGCCACCAGAGCTGGATCCCCCGGTGAGGGGGCTGATGGGAAAAATACTCTTGTTTTGAGTCCACCAGCTGTGCCAGGCATCCCTCATCCAAGTGTGGGAGGAAGCAAACACCCCTTTTATTCTCCCAGAGAGGTACAGTCAGAGTTACAAAACACAAGCAACGATTTCAAATAGCAGAAAGTGAAAGCTAAGAAGTGTTGTATTTGTTGCTGAGTGATGTTTCAGTCAATTCAATTCAATTCAAAAAACTTTATTGTCTATCACATTGTGACAGAAAATGACCTTTTGTTGAGGCTCAACATGAAAACATACAAACATTCACACTAACACTCACATTAGGTCATAAATAGCTAAAAGTATCCTAAATAGGTAAAAACACATGCACAGCATTTAAAAAACATTGCTTATCTAGCCTTGTATGTTTGATGTTTTTATATGTTGTATTTGTTGCTGAGTGATGTTTGATGTTCTTATATATGTTGTATTTGTTACCTGCCAAGGGACTGCAGATGTAAATAAGCCTAAGGCTAACTCTGGTGCAATGCATTAAATGGTTACATCTATGTTTTAATTGCACATGGTCCCTAACAAATAAAATTAAAAAAAAGTATGACATGCCATTAAACGATATTGAATAACAAACATAGAAGGCCTAGGACCACGATAATGATCTGTTCTTGTTTTTAAATACCAAATATTGCAGGTAAATTCCTGCACACTGTCTTAAATTGCACACATATGTTTGAAACATTACCCAAAGGATTTAGACAGTGTTCTCTTGTTTTCCCTCTGACAAAGCACTTTTTGTGTTCACATGTTTAATTTGTGTTGAGACCTTTTTAGAGTGTAGGAGAACACAGGGAGTAACATCAAATGTGCCCTTATCTGTTCACAAGATGAACACCAATGAGAGAGAAACACTTTAAGTATTATGATAACAAACGTTTCTACACTAAAAAGTAAAACCAACTAAAAAGACTTAAGAAACAGCTCACTAGAAAATAAAGCTTCTATCCTGTTAAATCAAAAACAACACGAGGCTCCCTAACGGTCCACCATCAGGGGAGAGGTTAATGTTTAGTGAAAAACCTTCTAAGCGTCCTTCATAGTTTCCTCAGTGTTTTGGACTTGTTGGCCAAAACAAATTAAGTTTTTAGACAAAACAACAACAAAAATAATGGGAACAGATTAACCAAGTCCATCAGCCAAGAAATAACCAAATAGAAAAACAGAAAAACAGAAAGTCACTGCTCCAGCTCATATCTATTTAATATTTGATTCCTGAAGTTTTAGTTTAAATATAGTTTTGCATTTTTTCAGCTCGTCATCACAGTTGTTCCACAGACTAACACCCTTTGTTGTTATACAGTTAAGTTTTGCATTAGTTCTGATTGGTGGTTTCTTGAATATACAGGTTCCTCTCAACTTATGTTTGCTTTCTCTCGGTTGGAACAAATCCTGGATACCATAAGGCACATGCTGTTAGTTTGCTTTGTACGTAATTTGAATAGTTTTATAGTCAATCAATTCTTGACATTTAAGTGTTCTTAGTTTAATGAATAATGGATTTGTTGGTTAGGTTACAACAGAACTTTGTAGTTTCAAAGTCACAGTGAGAAGAAAAAAAAAAATACAAAAGCTTCATAAGAAAAGGAGGAAGAAGCACTAAAACTGTTTCCACACAAAACTCCTGAAAATAACCTAAATCTTTTCCATGTTTCAAACAGTCGATGCTTAAAGTTTAGCGGTTAAGTGGTTTTGCGCTTTATTTTGAAAATACATTTATTTGATGAAATGATTTAGCAGTTGCCAATTTGAGGTTCTTTTTTCCTACATTTGCTCTTCATAATTTAAACATTTTTCTACAGTAGTGATTCTTGGTCTAAGCTAGGACACTCTCATTTAAGACATGTGTTATCTCATTTGTGATTTTACAGATTTGATTGTTTTCTTCTTTGTCTTTTTTTGCAACTGTTGATGTTTTGCCTCGGGCACAAGCTGAATTTTTTGAATGGTCTCGCTGTGTTCTGACAGATTCCTGAAGTGGACTCTGTGTTTGAGCAGCCGGCAGACGCAGACAGGTACTGGGCCGACGACAGGCAGAGGACGACTGAGGTGCTGCAGGAAGTCAAACCGTGGGTGGATGAGAAGCAGCACGCGGACAGGCAGCGCTTTGATAACAGGACTCTGTCAGAGTCGAGGGCAGACAGGTACTACACTGAGAACAGACAGTGGACAGTGGACAGACACACACAGAGACAGATCGACAGGAAGATAGAGAGGCAGTGGATGGGCGGCAGGCAGATCGACAGGTCGTGGTCGGAGAACAGACAGAATGACGTCCAGGGGGACAGTCAGTGTGCCGAGGGCAGACAGACGAGCAGGAAGTCAGACAGACAGGTGCAGGCGCTTCAGCTGGCTCAGAGGCCGCTGCCGCCGTACCCGTCTGACCTGACGCCCTCGCCCAAACAGGAAGCAGATTATTTTAAATGCACAGAGGCAGCAGCTGCTGGAGAGTGGCAGCAGCAGGACGAGCAGGGAGACAGAGCGACATGTCCTGATGCAGGCGGAGGGTTCACAGAGGGATGGAGGGGAGGAGGTCGAGCCGCTCCCTGTGCATCCAAACCCGAGCCCCCGCCTCAAAGCAGCAAACCAAACCTCCCCAAAGTGAGACAGAGACATCGCATGGAGAGCTCCGAGCCTCTGCCAGGTACCTCACCGTCCTCCATTTGTTTTTGAATGAAGTGTTCTGTTTTGTTTGAATGAATGCTTTGTGAAAGAGATATTATAAGATTAGTCTTCTTTCTGCTCCTTTTCATTCAACATTTGAGATGTTGTGTTTGTTTGTTTTTCTTAACTTTATTGTTTGTTTGAATGAAATAAAATTTACAAATAAAACAAATAAAATGTTTCCCTTATTTTAGGATTTGTAAAAAGGTTGCGACTACAATAATTGACCCAGTGTATCATTTTAATATCTGTAGGTATGGAAGAGGAGGGAGAGATTGAGAAGGATCCTGGAACAATGGACAAGAAAAGAAGAGACTCGGAGGGTCAACCTCCTCCGATTCCAGAAAAGGTGAGAGCTTTTTTATCCATCACTGTTTAAAGATGAATCAGTGCCGTTGGTGAATCTCAGTTGATCTTGTTGCATGAACGTGTTTCTTGTTTTGTGTTCTGATCCGACAAACAGCCAAAGACGTCCTCGTATGTGACTTTATCAAAAGAAGCAGCCAATGAGAGGAGCTTACCTCCTCCACCTGTACCGCCTCCTCTTCACAAACCTGTGCACGGACTACCAGACCGAGCTGCAAGTCAAGGTAACTCCACTAAAAACACGAACTACTAAAAAGTGGAATCAAAAAATCTGTGTTTGCTTATTCGATTATTTTATTATTAATAATAATAATAATAATAATAATAATTATACATTTAATTTATAATGCACGTTATATTTTTGCAAAAACATCTTAAAGTGCTGCAGGAAAAAAAAAAATTGTGTTGTTCAGGTGAAGAAGGACTCAGACCTCAGGCTCCAGTGAAACCACAGAGAAACAGGAAGGCCATGTCCTGTGACGCAGGTACAGACTGACTCCTCTACAGTGCAAACACAATATGTATTCCTGTTTGTGTGTATATGTTTATTGGTGTTTAACGCGTCACATTTAACTGTTTCTTGTTGTTCTCTGTCCTCACTGAACTCAGGCACTGACAGGGAAAGCCCAAATAACGTTGAGAAGCCCCCAACTCGACTCAAACCCCCCGTGAAAAAACCTAGACTACCCCAAAACAGAAATAAATCTCTGGAGCTGTCTGGTACTCGTCTCTCTGTTTCTATTCATGTTCAATGTGTGTCTGCGTGTGTGTGTGTGTGTGTGTGTGTGTGTGTGTGGCTGGTGTTACAGCGTGAGTCAAGTGTGTGTTGTACGTAATATTTAGGAAACAGACTGTAAAAGCTGCAATCTAATCCTTTGAGGCATCCAATCAAAGTGCATCCACTAAAAGTTGCTGTTTTTGTAAATGACAGGCTCAGATTGTTATTCTAGGAGACACACATTCAGAAATGATCCCTACAGAGAAAGAGTTTTAAGTTAGAGGGATACTTCACCCATTGAAACATAAATCTGTATTGACATTGGGTCATATATGTAGAAATGTGAAATACATTTTGAAGTTGCTGCCTTCTTGGCCGAGAAAAGACAGAAAGTGTCTTTTTGGCTCATGTGGATGAAAGACACCAAATCCCAGAATGCACAGCACCACAGGCCACTCCCACTAAGGTCAGGTTTACAGACATATTTACTTCAACACATGAGACCATTTCCTCAACTGATTCAGAGATTTCTTCCAGAATTGATCTTGGAAATTCCTGTCAGAACACAGACTCTATGTCTGTGTCCACAGGCAAACAGTGAGAGCACCGACACTACCAGTCCGCCCCAGCTCGAGCCGGCCCCGGCTCCTCGTCCTCAAAGCCGCCAACAGGCAGGCATTATGTTTCGGCTGCTGAACTGGCAGCGGCGGCAACATAGCCGCGACGATTTTGGCGTCACTGGAAGCTCCTTTTCAGACTTAGAAATACAAAGATTTCCCATCTCAGGGGAAAATGAGGGCGAGATGCACGACTATTCAAAAATACTACCAGGTTTCTAATGATACAAAGATTAATGCAAATGGGTGAAGTATCCCTTTAAACATCCTGACATCGCTCTCTTCAAAGACACCAGACTCCATTGACAAAAACAGGAATTTTATCTCAAAGGGAATTTAATCACTGCATGTACGTTTGTTTGTGTTATGGTGCAACTCAAGTGTTTTAAAAGATTATTTCTGATCCAATCTTGGAACAAATCATTAATATGATCAAAGGCCTCATCATATTAATGATAAGCAGTTAGCTATGAACTGACGGTCAGATGATTATCTTTGTTCTCATGAGACATTAATGTTGGGGTTGGTAGATAATATAACAATGAGTAAGGAATTTTGACTGCTCTTTTGTAAAGTATGAATTGGTGCTATACAAATAAAGGTTGATTGACTGAAACACACAGACTGTGACCAAAAGCAGAACAAATCTGAAACCAGCATTCAGTGCAGACACTGATGACACTGATGATTCTAGAGTCAGTCAGGCCCCTCTTACAAGCGTTCATCACCCTTCTGTCATAAATAATCTGACACCAAATGAAGAGACGTGTCTCTCTCTCACTTTCCCCCATAGTTAAGGAAACACTAGTAGCAGTCCATGTAATATGTGTGCATCATTATCTGCTCCACTTACTTCTTAAGTCTTTTTTCACTCTCAGACACATTGTATGCAGCGTTTATGGGCACAGTAAAGAGTGAGTTCTGTCAGATGGGGCCCACTCTCTGCCTGTTGCTTTACTTGTCTCTCTGCTTTTATTTTCTGTTGTAAAGCACTTTGTTAGTTGTATAGAAAAGTGCTATACAAATAAAGTATTATTATTATTATTATTATTATTATTATTATTATTATTATATTAACTAAAAAGTCCTTCTCTAACGGGATCATCGCTGTAATGTTGCCAGACACTTAGAGTAACAGTCAGTGACGAAAACATCAACTTTTAGTGGACAGACTTTTAATGGGATTCTGTTTCATCTATTACTGTTTTCATGGTTTCCAGCTGAAGCAATCAGCTCTATATTCCCACAAACCCCCTTAAATAAAAAAAACTGATTCTCCTTTTGAAAATGTTTCTTAAAAAGCAAAAAAAGAAATGACTCAGAGGATGATTTATTTCATGTATCCTGTAGATGAATAGATGCTCCTTCTGATCAATAATCATATTTTTGTTCTGTTTCACAGACAGCCTGAACTCAGCCTCCAGTCAGAGCGAGCTGTTGTGAACTTCAGGAGGAGGAGGAAACACGGCAGACATCATGAAGCATCAAGTCACGACTTCTGTTCAAACACTTTTTCTTAACATCACCTCGTCCTTCTTCACAAAGACGCTGTCTCTCTCTCTTTGCTTTCCTCATATGAAAAACTGTCTGTGGCTTCAGTATTTGATCAGTATTTGCTCCTTTAGAAAAGCCGATCGATCATTTCGTCTTTTGTGTTTGGTGAGTCGACTGTTGGAGCATCGTGGCTTTGCTAGACAGAAAAATAAAGAAAACCATTAGAATGTGATTTCTTAACTCTGCATTTTAAACTGAGCGCCTCAGTTTACACTTGAAAATGAGTTGCTTCTTATCAGATGATGATTTATATCTAGTTTTGCTTTCAGGATCTGAAAGGTGATATATTTTATAGAAAAAAAAAAATATTATGTATGAGCACCCTCGCTGTATGAATAAAACACATAAAGAAAACAACTCATGCCTTTGTTGTTGTTGATACTCTCATCGGCCTCTTTCCACTTTATTGATTTGTGTTGTTTCAGTTTTTCAAATATATTTAAAATTAGCTCATCATCATTTTTATTTTATTAAAGGATGGGATGACTACTTTGATGTTGAAAGCTCCCGAAGCTAACACAAAGATATTTTCATAACTTCAGCTATTTGAAAGCTCTTTGTAATCTAGCTTTCTAAAATTGGTGTCATGACTTTATGTTTATGCTTAATCAGCACTTTTTATGTAAAAATCTAAGCTACCTTATAGCAGAAGGAGTTAGTAAGGACTGAACTACTGCACTCGAGTTTTAAAGTTGAACTCTCGTGCTTTTCATTATTTTAAAACGCACCAACCGAGTTTGCTAGATGGCCACACTGTGCGCAGTGTTTCATATCATGAGGTAATCGTATGTTGGTGAATTCCGAGGAAAGGTCTGTAGAGGGCGCCAAACGGCTTGTTCTGCAAATCACAAAATAGTTCCCCTGATATGACATGAAGAATTTCATGAGACTGCTTCAAGTCTCTACTTAAAGCTGTTGAAACCATTTACATGGACTCTCTTCTCCTGGCAGCCCTGCAGCATTCTGCCCCATGGAAGGCTTCCAGAGAGCCGGCCAATCAGAAGAAAGTTAGGAGAGACAGCAGCCGAAATGAAGCGTTTCAGGCAGAGCCGAAATTAGGGTTTTTACTGACACCAGTATAAGATAAATAAGGAGTTTTTTGAGCTGCAAAGCTACTCTAAACGTTTCACAGAATGACATTATGAAAGGTAAAAATCAGGATAATATGGGATCTTTCAGCTTTTTTGGGGAGAAAACAGATTCTCAGGTCAGCAAACATTTGTAGAGTTATTTTAGTGTCTCATAGAGATGCAAAAGTTATTTTATGCATCTTACAAACAGCAGCAGGGGGCAAAGGAGGTGACACTGTCCTAAAGCAACAATATGTAGGTGTTTGGTTTTCTACACTTTGGCGCCAACAGAAGGTCTCTCACATTAGCAGTGAGACAGATCATAGTACGTACTTGATGGGCAATACTGTAATCACTTCCTAACAATCCAACAGCAACATGCTCAGTGTCTGGCTCACATCCTTCTGTTTTTTTGAAGCTCTCGCCAACATGTAAAAGTCTGTCCAATATTTTCTCTAAATCTCGCTCGGCCACTCGCTCTCTTATTCTCCTCGAAGCTTCATCCGTCAACCTCCTCACCAAACAGTACAGAGATGCCTTACTGGCTTCTCATGAGCTGAAGGCTGCTGAGGGAACCTGCTGCCATAGTTACATGGTGCTGAGAACAGGCGGATGGGTTGCTCTGTGGACAGAGGGTATACACCATTCTCCCTGTTTCAAGTATCGTGCTATTAGATCAACATTTGAAACTATCATAAGGTGTAAATGTAACATTTCTTTAATTGTACAACCACACTGTTGCTAATGTATTCATGCAGTTTGAACAGTGTGCAGGAGTTTGCCTGCAGTTTTTTCTATTTAAAAACTAGAAATGACCAAATATTTGGGGACTGGGACTTTATTATTTACTATTTTAACTGCAGTAGTAACCAAACAGGTTTTGACATCATTTGATTTTTACTATCACTGGTCAGAAGTTTAAAATTCTGGTATCATAATGACCGTAGTTTTCAAACAATGTGTTATCCTAATATTCACTAGCACGTTAAAAAATAATCAAATGTACCAGTTAATAATATTCCATTTATTAAATATGATTTTAAGGTAAAATAAGATTCATCCCACAATTAAGAAACATTTACATTTATTTTTTCATTACCATTTTTTTTTTTTTTCATTTCACAATAAAATAAACTGTCTCTGTTTTTATGAAACTTGTTGGTGAATTTCTGCTTCATGACACGTTGTAGTTTTTTCTTTAAACCTTCAGCACTTATTTGTGCTGCCTCCTATTGGCCAAAACTAAAACTAACCTTCTACAAACAAAAATAATGAATAATTAATTAGAGACTGTAAAATGATTTGCTGTCATCCTAAAATAAAACAATTAACCAGCTGTAACAAAAAAAGCTCCAGCTGTCAGGTTTGTTCTCCATGATCACAGGTGGAGGCTAAATTTACTTCCTGACTTCAGAAATGCCCCCCTGTGGTCGTCATGGCAACCTCACATATTTCATATGAGTCAAGGAATGTGAGAAAACAGCAGGGGGCGACTTATCCTTACAAATGAGGCGGCCACACACACACACACACACACACACACACACACACACACACACACACACACACACACACACACACGCACACACACACACACACACACACACAGGCAGCAATCTTGCAGGTTGTCATTAGCAACTGTGCCATGACCTTTTTTTCTGACGATGCTGTAACGAGTTAGAAATCCGACCTCCAGAGAGGAAAATCTCTGCAGGGAAACAGATAGAGAGGCTGTTTCTGTTCTTTTTATTCTATTTCTTTACTCATAAACATCCTCCAGGGAAACACTGACGAGCTCTTGTAACACAACTGAGACTGATAACTGCAAAGATTTTTACACATGTACATTATAAATAATCTGCCTCATACCCTTAAAACAAAATCCTTGGCTGCAGTTTTTTGCTCTTTAAGTAATCACTCACAGACGCTGCATCATAAATAACCACAGCAGTTATTCTTTGAGACAAAAACATGATTTATGTTCCCGCCTGTGAGCAACGAGCCGGTTTCTCCTAAAGCACTTTTAACATCTTTCATTTAGATGAATGGAGAGTGACACTTCTTCTTCATAACAGTGAAATATTACCTCAGTGTTGTTTAAACCGTTACACCCACGTCATGTCAATATGAGCAAATTAAAAGAGTTGGTGATGAATTCCTCATAATTAAAAATGTTTGATTAATTTTTAATAAAGGACACATAGAGGTTTGAGATCTAAAAATGTGCAGATTTGGCTCAAACACAGTTTTGTCAGATTTACATTTATTGCTTTGATAGCTGTCTTGTTGCACTATTAAAGTTTACATTGTTTTTCCACATGCATTTAGATCGGATAGTTCACTCACTCTAAAAATCAATTAATTAATCAATCAGATAGTTTTAATAAAACCATAAAAGGAGAATATGTTGGAGCAGTTTGCACACATAAAAAACATCAATGTTTAAGTCATAATGGAGAAGCTTAAAAAATAAATAGTAGAAAAAAAGAACATTTGACTTTATCTTTATAGAAACATTAACCGATTCAGCGTTTGCTCAGTATGCTTCTGATTTGTGCAACGGCTTTTCAAAAAATATTCTTTAATGAGTAAAGATGACTTCTTAAAGTTATAAGGGTCTAGAATTCACTCTGCTCCCTGACAGCTGAAATCTGCAGCGTCCTCCTTACAGCTGATGTGAAGACACATCCCATCACAAAGGAGGCACCCTGAACACATCCTACACTCCTCATCATTCTTCTGCAGTTACCAAGCAACATGATCGCATAAAGAAGGGCCGAGGGAAGAGAGAACATGTGTGGGAAGAAGGAGAAAGACGCGTGAAAATAAAACGATGCAGGCAGCCAGTCCAAAGAAATGTGCATCATCCATCTCGCACAATGCACACAGCGTCTTCCTTCCGGTTTAAAGGACGATGAGGTTCTAAACGAGGCAGTTTAAAGTCTCCCTTTGTGCCTGATCAGGCTGTGTTTGCAGCTCCACTGAAAATGACTCATGAAATCAACCAATGAGAAGACGCAGAGTCATTTAATGTAATTACAACCATGTCTCCAAAAGGTCAGGAGTAAGCTGTTCAGAGAGGATGTCATGGGAACCGTCTCCCTGATGGCTGTCTCTGGACTCACCTTCTGGTCAACAGTCTGTTAGAGAGACAGAGTGAAGTGACAGCATCAGTCCCAGGTGAGACATGCTGTTGAAAAATAAATATAACCAGTTGTAACTAATTAGGATTACACAATCAATTTATGTTGTGTCATTCTGCAAAAAGTGCATGACTGGTGTGACGTTCTCCGCTTACAGGGGATGAGGGAAACTACATTTGTTGAGATGTCATGTCTGCCTTGATTCCTTGAGCTCAATTAGGAGCAACAAGAAACACCTGTGGCTGCAGCAAGCAGAGATCCCCAAATCAGGTCTCCCATAAAGGGAAGGAGAGTTCGTTGCTCAGTTTGCTCTCCGAAGGACAAGACCTGTTCCACCTTTCTTTGTCAAGTGCGTCCACATGTGAGTTATTGTTTGAGTAAATTAGTTTAGTGATTATGTTTGTTTATGATGCACAGGCAGATTTGTTGTTTAACTGATACATCCTCTGTTTACTGAGCCTGTTTAGAATTATTGAACATTATTTTGTTAATGAGGCAAATAATTAATTGTCAAATTTTGTCTCCAAAACAAAGAAAACACTTGACAAATTAAGGAAAAAAACCTTAAAGTGGAATCATTCTCGCTGCCTTCATTCCCATGACTCAACTCACCTTTTGAATGTCAATGAGCTTCAGCCCTCAACATTTAGGATACACCTAAAACAACAATGAAATAATGAAAACCAGGAATTTACATGAACAAACTGTAAGTGTGCTGAAAGGACACCATGCTGCAGATTCCTAAAAAGTAAAAAAAGTCAAGCTCTATCAGGTTTTCAAACTTTGCATCATTTATGTATTTGCAGAACATTTCATGTTGATGAAAGCAGTGTTTCGTCTTTTTTTGCAGATTTTTTTCTGTCTGTTTTCTGATGTTGCATTTTTTCATTTATATTTTTGCATTGTTCCTGAATTTGTAAAAAGTTTGGGCTTTTTGCAAGTTTGATTGCCCCTGTTGCCCCCCACAGATCAGAGTGTGAAAAGAGAGGTTAAGATCTATCCAAACTCTGGATCCCTTCAGTAATAGTCGTCTATCAATGTAGATGACAGCTGCCTGTGGAAACGGACAGTTTATATGTTGAATGGAGTTCCGATCACTCATTTCTGATGCATTCTGGGTGTCAGGAAATCTAACACTGACTGGCTTTTCTAAGAGCATCAAACAGATTTATGGTTCAGATTGAAATAGTTGAGTTGGAACCAATTGTTCTGTTTACATGCAGATATCAGCTCATAGAGATAAACAAATCTGTTAGATTCCCGCCTATAGGGGGCGCTGTGTCAATTTGAGACTGGTGTTCTTCATGTTTAGACATGCTGACACATGATTGGTCAATACTTCCTGAACAACAAACAAACACCTTCCATAGTTGAATCCAGTTCCCTCGAGACTCGATATTTTCAGTAGAATCTGTGAATAAAGATTATAAAGAATAAAGATAACAGATGTCCAAACAAAAATTCAATTTCTGTAACCATGTGAGCCTGATTTTTAAAATTGACAGTTGTGTTTTCATCTCGTCTCAAAGTTACGATACAATTTGACAATCCTGTGTGGGATGAGGGAGGGGCGGAGAGAGGGAGTGAATTAACAGATTTAGTGTCATCTCTCAGTCTGGGAGAGGAACCAAAGTATCGACCCCCTTAATCCCTTCATCCCTACCCCCCCCCCTTACTCCTCTGAACTCCGTCTTTCTCTCAGTCTGCTATTATCCATGTATTCATGTTTAAGTCCCTAAATGCTTCATAATTGTTTAATATTTGTTTGTTTTGTTTATTTGTGAGATTAAATCCTCCAGTGACAGCAGATTATTGCTGAATTATGCAAAAAACACGATTTTTCAGCAATTTTTTTTTTGAGCCTTTTGAAAGCAAAGAAGACTTTTATTTATTTATCTGAAGCCTCAAACATGCCTGAAGAGACGTTTTATCACAAATAATTGACATGCAGCAAACTTAAATTGTGATCTGTTTTCATTTTTCATCCTGAATGTCAGTAAACACAGACGTTACATGGAAGTGATCGGGTCCTGATTATTGATCATGGGGGGGGGGGAGATAGACAGTTAAAGTGGTGGGTGAGGTAATAGCGAGCAGGCTGACAGCTTATGTCTACATTACAGATGGTTTATGAAGGCACGGCTATCTGTTAATCTGACACTAGTTTCAGGGGGAGAATCAGAGCTAATCCCATGACTAGCCTGATAAACCCACTCACAATGAGACCCCACGTGTGGACAGCATGGGTAAACACACATGCACACACACACACACACAAACAACAGCAGTGAGATGGTCTGGAATAAAAATCAATAAAAGACAGTAAATAGCTTAAGAGGTATGAAATCTTTTGGCTTCGTAGCCAGATTTAAATGGCCAATTTAAAGATTAACAGTTGAAGTGATGGATTAGATGCCTGTTACAAAAACACTGAGATTAGAGGCAGACAGGAAATGATAAACAAGACCGCTCGAGCCACGGGGAAGATTCAGTTTATACGTTTTGTGTGACAGTCTGAATGTGTCTGAATGTGATTAATCTCTACAGCAGGCTGTGTTTGTTTTCTATTAAATTACATTTAAGAAGTCACAGAGCAGGGAGGCATCCTGCTGATCATTGATTCTTGTGGACATAAAAATGTCAAAAGACTCTGAAGGAATTATTTCACATTTTGGTATATGTACATATTTGCTTCTTGCATATGTTGCTCCCCCGACCTGGCCTAGGGGTGCCAGGGAGGAGTGTGTCTTTACCCTGCAGTGGTCTGTTTAGCTGTGTTCAGCTCGGCTGCAGGATTTATTCTGTTTCCTTTACATATTAAACATACATCTTCTCTTCTTGAGTCAACCAGAAACATACACACATAAATTAGAACATGAAATGTTCACATTAGCTCTCTGTATGATTTCTAAATCATTATCAAAACAAAACAAACCCCTTTCACAAATCTCAGCATTCCCACGTGCTCTGTAAAGTTACTATGCATTAGCAACAGGTGCGCTAGCCTCGCATGCTAGTGTACATCTTCACATTTCTACTTTTCACATATACATAACTGTAAAAATACAAACCTTATACTTCACTGACAAAATTCCTAACACTATTAACCATTATACTGGTGTTTATGCATGTGGTTTTGAAGACATTAAACCCACCTGTATGTAAATACAATGAACTGTATTTTCACTATAATTAACTTTTACAATGTCCCAATGGCTTTGAATCTTGTGATCCATTTTTAACCTTTTAATAACCTTTGTTTTTTAACTTAAAACAAAACACATTTTTCAACCCTTTACACATAAGTTAAATAAGACGATGTTTCATGTCTGCATGATAAATATGAAGATTGAGCAGAAGTGTAATTTTATAACTTTGATAGCTTGTTGTACAGATTGAGAAAACCTCTTTTTCAATTTCTCTTTTTTTCCTGGAAACAGTAAACACAACAAAAACACAAATGTTTATGAATGCTAAACCTCAAACACACTACTGTCTCTACCTTCTCTATAAAAAAAAATCCCCTTTAATTTTATCCAGTTTATTTAAACAGCCGTTTAAAAAACAGGACTTTGCACAACAGGAGGGTGTTACCGCTAATATCTTGAACCTTTTGGGAACTGTTTTCTTCTGTTCTGCTGTCTGCGTGCTAATATTTGGTTGGATTTCAGTTTCAAACTGAGAGCGTCAGACTGCTTTGGCATACACTGTGATTCTGAGCTTTTAGTTTCTTTTTACCTTTTTCTTGGACTTCTAAACACTTCTTTGATCCTATTGTGATGCATTATGTCTATAAACACACACCTACCTGTAGGAATTGTTGTTCTATTTACCTCAGAATCTTATTCTCAGAGGGGAGGCATCTTTTAACTTTACTTGCACAATGTTTTAACTTTTATTACACTCTATAGTTGTTTTGTAAATGTGCAAATAACTAAACTAAAACTTAATGACTCAAAACCAAACCAACCTTAACTAAACAGAAATAAAATGAAATAAATCATATTAAACTAAACTGAACTAAGCTAAACAAAAACAAATTAAACTAAGCTTTAAACTTAACTAAACTAAAATAAACAAAGATTTTTAATCACTGAAGTCAGTTATCCTAAATGCCGAATTTCCTCAATTTGAGAGCAACATGAAGCTGGGAGTCGTCTGCATAACAGCATTGTAAATTTTCCTGATTTTGGATTAATTGGAAGGAGAATAAATACAGATCCGGGAACCGACCTCTGAGTGATCACCACATCTGCTATTAAAACTAAAACAGTCAAAAAAGTTAATTGCTTTTGCAGACTCAGCATTTTATTTTGATTTATTTGTCTATTGTCGTGTAATTGTTTTTCATTTTTTACATTTCTTTAGAGCACTTGTCTGCAATGTTTGTATGTTTATGAACAACAACAAAGCAAAAGTATGGCACTCCAAGCCTTTAGTCCCCTTAAACAAAACCTTTATAAAAACATCTACAACTAGTGGTAAAAAAAACACTTTGTGCAGCCTGAAAAGAAATATCAAATATTTGATATATAAGCGAATTGACTGCAAGAATGACATTTTTGTAGCATGAAATTCAAAATTATTGAAATGTAAAAAACTGAGAGGTTGGGTTGATTAAAAAGCTGCTTTTAACTTCTTATTCTCATTAATATCTTGTAATCAGAGACCAGCTGCAGTGATCCAATATCGATCAGATTAGCTCAAAGTGTGTCAAAATATTGAAGTTTGATTGTGATGGTCATACAGTACATCGTTGTATATGTAGAGAGTGAAGGAGACAGATCCTTGTGGGGAGGGGGGAGAATATATGAAGGACGGCATTTCCTCTGGAAGTGCAACGTGTAAGCCTGCCGCTTGCAGAGTTATCTGGATTAGGACATGTATCTGTGGGATAAGACTGAGTCAGAGGGACCCTGCAGACCTCAACCTCACACCATCTGTCCAAACATCAGAGCCCGTTCTCAGCTCGGTCACTCGATCACTCTGTTCGTCAGGGCTCTGTGTTTAATTCCCTGCTTCTTCTCCTTTATTTTGTCTGGTTTCTTAAAAAATAAAAATCCTCCCTTCTGTGGCTGCTTGTCACTTGAATATTGTCCACTTTAAGGCTGCTCCTGTGTCCTATCCCCATTTGGCCTTAAAAGCCTCTCAGAGGATAAAGGCTGAGGATATGAAACCAGGGTTTAGGGGGTGACGCCAGGGTTAATTTCCCCCTGAAGGGGAGATGATGCTGAAGTTCAAAGGGTCACCTCACCCAAAACACCAAACGATTAATTTTCTCGTAAAGATAGTTTGGTCTTACTTGATTAGGTCTTTCTTGGAGCTGGTCGTTCAGAATAATCTCAGACAACCATAACTCAT